AGTTAAAGTTGATTTAGCAGCACTTAATCACAGCAACCCTGCCAAACAGAGCATGTTCAAAGGGGATTTTGTTTGTAAGTATACCTCATCAAAAGACTTTCCATATTCCTGATTCACAGCATTAATTCAAATGTTTTATCTTGAGAATTGGGTAACTCCTTTCCACCCTTGACCTCCATCCCAATGCAAGAGGAGAGAAGGAAACGAATAGAGTATTTTTGGAAAAGGTACACTAGCTAAATGGAGAGCCAGTTTGGTTTGAGCGCTGGACTATGCCTCTGGAGACCAGGGCTCAAATCCCAACTTGGCCATGGAAATCCATTGGGTGACCTTGGGAAACACACTCAGCCTCAGATAAAAGGTTACTTCTGAATTACTTTAGTTAGGGTCACTATGTGTTAGAAATGACTTGCAGGCATACAACAACAACAGGCTTTCGAGTTTAGCTACATTTTTGAACTTTCTATTCCTGAACCGTCTATATAGGGCTAAAGTTTTGGTAGTTGTAGAATCTTTGGAAGGAGCAGATTCATTTTTGTCACTTGAACTATAATTAAACTCCATAGCCCTCTATTACCTTAGCTGGTAGGCTCAGCTGTGGCCCATCGAGGCAAGGGATCACCTAGTTTGGGTAGGTTTGGAGTTTAGATTATTGCAACAGTCTGTATGTGGGACTGCTGCTCAGTATAGTATGCAGCACTCAGATTGATGATGAGATCAGAAGGTCTGTCCATAGAGGACTTTTCTGGCCCAGGATCCTGGCTGCCAATGTGTTTCTGGGTCACTTCAAAGTGTTGGCTTTAAACTATGAAGGCTTAAACTGCTCAGAGCCTTGACACTTGACAAAAGGCCTTTCCTGTCATGACCTTGACCAAGGGCTGAGAAATAAAAGCAGAGGCACTCCTGTAACAGAGGTTTTGGAGTTCAGACTATGGAATAACCTCTCCAATGAGGCCTAGCTGCTCTTTAAATTATCATCTTATCCCCAACAGATTGAGACATTCCTGGGTTTTTTTAGACGTCTCTCCCAAAGGCCCCAGAGCACCAATTTTAAACAGGGAGTTGGGAGTCTCTGCATTGTTCCATGGGTAAAAAATACTACTTTTTTTTTTTTACAAAAAAGGACAAATAGTCTTTTCAAAAACTTTAAAGCATATGTTCTTTTTGTTGCAATTTTCCAGTAAGAGAAAGGATATCAGAACTTTTACAGACCTACATTTAAACATACAGACTCTATGTAACTACACTAAATCCACAAACAACCTATAGTTACATTGGCTAACAAATAATCAAAAGGGGAATTATATTTTTACTCAGCATTCACATTACCCATACACATTCACTCATACTCATGCATCCAAATATTACCATACCCTTTCTCCCTCCTTGGAGAAACACCTGCTCGGCCAGACCCTGCTTTCCCTGCAAATCTGTCAACACACAGTTTCAAAACTTCCAAAATGTCAAAATGCCTAAACTTTTCCGAAACACACTCTTTTCAACTTGAGACGGAGACAAAACTATTGGAGTTTTGTCAATGAATCGCTCTTGATTATTTCATTGTAGGGTAATTTGCAGTTTTATACAATTACTTTTGAAGTGGAGTTATTTTTAAAGAAATGCTTTAAGGGCATCTAGGAACATGCTTGGAGATATATTGAGCTAAACATTTTCGACACCCTTTTTACTCATGCTATTAAGTGTTAAAATAATTAAAATAGAAGAGAAATACAATGAATTAACAACTTGTGCAAGTCGCAATGCTAAAGGTAACATGTTTTTAAAAGCATTAATTGCAACAGGTTGTATTATGAATTAGTTTTTTAAAAGGAGCTTTCACATCTCACTTTTTGTAGTGCCTGCAGTCTAACACAGTTGATTTACACTAGGACAAAAATAATCACCGTATTATGTTGCAGTGTTTATAACATGGCCCTGGATCAATATATGATGCAAGTGTTGAGTGGTTCTATATCCCAGTGACACAGTGTCATATCAACAGAGTACTGGACCTGGAGTCTGCACCGCCCACGTGAGGTCATGCCATATTAATGAAGACGTGGGCTCTTCTGTATTGTCAGTTATAAAGACCATTAAATTATCTTGGCAGATTGCAGTAAATTATCTTTGCAGATTGCTTATATTGCATTTAGGAGCTTTCAGCAGCGTACCAAGGAGCTGAAATAATATAAGGCAGTATGATACATGAAGTCCCTACAGGGATGTTCTGCTTGGCTGTTGCACTGAGAAGCTTCACATAACTCTACTTTTGCCATCTCAGCAACCTGGTTTCCATAGATCAAACCACTCTGACAAAATGTCCATCCAGGTCTGTCTCCCTAAATGAAACATGACAGATTATACTCCTGAAAGTAAATACAGGATTCCAGGACAAAAAATCTGGATCAGGAGGCAACATGCCAAGAACAAAGGCTCTTTAAATAGATAACCTGGCAGAGATGACTTTGAAAAGGACGCAATGCCCTAGAAAAAGAATCCCAGGCAGCTCACTTCAGATCTCCAGGCAAATATGGAATTGCTGCAAAACTATACAGTGGGCACAGCCTTTTCTATATATTCATAATGGCCACAATGACAAGAAACACCTTTTTTCTTTGTGGAAGGGTAAAAACTTTTAGTAAAATGATGCCATAACCTTTTGGAAAATATGACTCTCCATAATCATTTGGGAAATGGGATTCATAACCTTTTTGGAAAACCACTAGTCAAGGAAAGGCATGGCCTTGTTAGAAGTCGCAATCTTTTGAAAAGTGATGTTCACCAGCATTCATGCAAGGCAACTAGGTCTCTCAGCTTTTAACCTAGGTATGCCTTTGAACCGGGGTGGTCCATGCCTTGGTCACCTCTAGATTGGATTACTGTAATGCGCTCTACGTGGGGCTGCCCTTGAAAACGGCTCGGAAATTCCAACTGGTCCAACGGGCGGCGGCCAGGATGTTAACCGGCGCTCCTTACAGGGAGAGGTCAACCCTCCTGTTTAAGGAGCCCCATTGGCTGCCGTTTACCTACCGAACCCAATTCAAGGTGCAGGTGCTTACCTACAAGCCCTAAACGGTTTGGGACCTGCCTACCTGCGTGACCGCATCTCCGTTTATGAACCCACACGCTCTTCGTTCATCCGGAGAGGCCCTGCTCGCGATCCCACCTGCATTGCAGGCGCGTTTGGTGGACTTTGGAACACCCTCCCCAAAGACATTAGACTAGCACCCACGTTGGCAGTCTTTAGGAAGAACTTGAAGATTTGGTTATTCCGATGTGCCTTTCCAGAATAGGATAACCTCCAGCACTATGTCCCAGAAGCACTTTATTAGAGTAACACTCTCTGCACATTGCACTTGCCCAAAATTCCAACATACCACCTCACACACCCAGCACTTTTTAACCTGTACCCATCATTGGCCCGGCCCTGATTTTATTGCATAATAGTGTAATGTTTTGTTGTGTTATTGCTTATGTTTTTTAATTTGCTTGCATCATATTGTTATTGTTTGTTGTTGTTATGTTGAGGCATTGGCCTTTGTAAGCCGCATCGAGTCCTTCGGGAGATGCTAGCGGGGTACAAATAAAGTTTAATAATAATAATAATAATAATAATAATAATAACAACAACAACTGCCAGGGACAAAGACATGTCAATGCACAAAACCACATATATTCAGCAGAGTTTCAGTGTTCCTTTAGTTGCCCAAAAACATCTACTCTCCCTTAAAATATATTTTCCTTTAAATCATGCTGCCAGGAGACAAAATAAACAGTCTTCCTTAAAAGTAACAGAGTTGGTTTACTCACAAATCTTTGTGTATACCGCATACAGACACTTTGCTTCTGAATCCAGTTACAATAGGATTTCAAGTAGTTTCTTTGTATAGGTAACATAGGGTATCTACCTTAGAAACAATAGTCCATAGTCCAATGGAGTCTTTAAACATACATCTTACTTTTGTGTGTGTGTGTCAGGAGCGACTTGTGAAATTGCAAGTTGCTTCTGGTGTGAGAGAATTGGCCATCTGCAAGGACGTTGCCCAGGGGACACCCGGATGTTTGATGTTTTACCATCCTTGTGGGAGGCTTCTCTCATGTCCCTGCATGGGGAGCTGGAGCTGATAGAGGGAGCTCATCCACACTCTCCCCAGATTCAAACCTACGACTTGTCAGTCTTCAGCCCTGCCGGCATAAGGGTTTAACCTATTGCGCCACTAGGAGCTTCTTACTGAAGTCTAAACTGTATAACTGTATTCACTGCTTCTGATGCAAACAGAGGGCTTCTGTTCTCTCTAAAAGACTAATGACTTCTATCTCCACTGAAGCCTAAAGCAAACACAAATCTAAAATGGAGTCTTAGTCCTGAACATGTCCAGACCTGATTACATGGTTTGCAGCCCCTCCCTCTCACAACAAAGAGCTTAGGTAAAATTGCAAACCAACACACAGATACAATACAGTAAGCAATTATACACATAGCAAACAACTAGTGGAGGCTTGAGAAGGTTGCTGTTTCCAACGAAACAGTGGTAAACCCATCATCTTTATAGACTCAGCTTTGCGGGTACATAAAAAAATTGAATAATAACATATGTGCATAGTAAGTATGTGCTAGAATTAGGCATTGCAATCAGTTGAGAAAAACATAGACGATGAGTTGTATCAAGAACTTTTAGTACTTCACCAGGGATGAGTGCATGACTGTGGAACAAACAAAGATTTTAACTCTGGTTATGTTAGTCGTTATTGTAATGACGTATTGTTGTTTCAAGGTAGGACCCTCTGAAATAGCAATTGAACCCCAAACCTTGCCTCCTAGAAACTGGAAGCACAGTGTTGTGTTTTCCAGCTTAATTTTCAATTTAAAAAATCAATGTAGGTGTTGGAGGAACCAGGTGGTATTGGAAGAGCTCCTGAGCTGCTGAACTTGCATCCCCTCTTTAAAAGGAGAATAGTGATTTCCATTGAGAAAGAGCAGCATTATAATGACAACCTACCTTTCTCATTGAAGGGTGTGTGCCAAGCTAGGAGATAGTTATCTGGCTTCAGTTGTGAGCAGCCTTCAATTGTAGAGGGGTCAGATCGTCTCCCAGGAAGTTTCTCAATTATATCAACATAGCGTTTTACAAGTTCCCGATACAGGTCTTCTAAGCACCAGTAATCTGTTCAGGTGAAGCAAAACGCCATATGGTCAGGCAAAGAAGCAAAGGCAAATAATAAAATGAAGAAAATGAAGCTTATTATTCCCTAAGCATTGATTGCTTAGAGTGAATATCAGAACCTCTTAACAGGCCCGAACCCATTTCAGATGGAGAGTACTCAGAAATAAATACTGCTATGTTAATGCCCCTTATATAGTATAGATACTATGGCTCCATCTATGCTGCCATATAATGCAGTTTGAATCTGCATTATATGATCAGTGTAGACTCATACAATGCAATTCAATGAAGTTTGAAATTGCCTTAGGCCCCTTCTACACTGCCATATAATCCAGATTATCAAAGCAGAACACCCACATTCTTTGCTTTGAACTGGATTATATGAGTCTACACTGCCATATAATCCAGTTCAAAGCAGATAATCTGGATTTTATATTGCACTCTAGAAGGGGCCTTATATGCCACGTGACTACAAATAGTGACTTAAACTGTTTTCCACAAAGTCAGCTAGGCCAGATCCAGATGCCTAATTCTGAGCAGACCTTCCTCACAATTCCCACAATGCCAAGTCAATTCCAGATGCTGTCAAATTTTACAAGTTCAATTAAATCCTTATCACAAAATTTGTGTTTATGTTTTATTCATTTTGCTTAAAGTTCTAATTTATAGAATCATTAAGAATGCATGAAACTACAGGTGAATCAACACTGAAGAACTAATGGAGTTTGAGACAACCTTAACTAACATGGCTCAATGCTATGGAATCAAGGGAGATGTAGTTTGGTGACATGCCAGCACTATTTGGCATAGAAGACTAAATATGTTATAAAGTTATCTGCTGTTGAGCCACCTCAAATTAAAGTGGTGTCAAGCTATATCAATTCTATAGTATAGCTAATCCCGGGATCTCATAATTGACCAGAATAACAAACAGGGATTTGAGGACATTTAAACTTTAAATGTTGGATTTGAAATTGACTGTGATCCTCTGTATGTTTTTTGATTGCAACTCTTAAAAAGAGTCAGTATATCTGACAGATTGCCTGTTCCCATATGAGTCTGCGCTGTCATCAGTGGAGTCCCTGGAGGTGTCCTAGCATCTTGTGACGTGAAGTTGGTAGCTTGAGAAAGTTTTCCCTGAAGTAGTGTCTGGCTATGAAATTCCCTCCTAAAAATCTGGAGGCCATGGTTCTCCACTCATCAGATAATTCATACATTTGCAACATTTCCCGATGCTAGCTCCCCTTTCCCAGATGTTGGACTACAGTGCCCATAATCACTGCCCATTAGTTATGCAGGCTGGAAATGATGGGAGTCAGTCCAACCATAGCAGCATACCCATGGTTAAGAAAGGTTGCATTATAATCTTCAGAGACTAGCAACTTCTTTGCCAAATCATGGGATACATAAAGGGCTTTATCATACGATGTAAGTAGATCATAATTACATCAGGATAATTGCACCTTTGGTTGGGTCTTATCAGATGATGTCATATTCCTCCTGTTGTTTTCCTATAGGAGACCATTTGGAAAGCATTTCTTTTTATTAACACACAAACAAATATCCAGTAATAACTTCCTTTTCTGGTTCTGTTGTGATATGATTTCTTGGGGCACGGTGGCGCAACGGGTTAAACCGTTGAACTATTGAATCTGCTGACCTAAAGATTGGCAGTTTGAAGCCGCAGGTCGGAGTGAGCTCCCGCTGTTAGTACTAGCTCTTGCCAACCTAGCAGTTTGAAGGCATGCAAATGTGAGTAGATCATTAGGTACTGCTTTGGTGGGAAGGTAATAAAGGCACCCATGCAGTCATGCCAGCAACACAACCATGAGGTGTCTATGGACAAGAGGCTCCTTGGCTTGGAAATGGCTTGGAAATGGAGCAAGACCACCTCCCCATGGAGAGTTGAGCGCCACCTCCAGAAAGCCAGAGGTGAAAGGGGAAGCCTTTACCTTTGTTCTGTGTATTTGTATGTCATTGTTATTCCACTGTATTAAAGGCATTGAACTTTTGCCTATGGATGTAAATGCAGTAATCCACTCTGAGTCCCCTCAAAGAGCGGAATATAAATAAATAAATAAATAAATATTATTATTATTGTGCAAAATACAATTGCACCTTTATATCCAGAGGTTTCAATTAAAGTTTTCGCAAATAAACCTTAATGTTGTCTAATGGCTTCACTCATCCTTATTTAATCACATTGATTTACTCATGAGTTGTATTAGTTCTTGATGATACTCGGATAAAGTATTCAGATTATGAAGCACAATTGAAATGGAAAGGATATCACAAAAAAGAAAAACAGGTCCATAGACATCAGTGGGTGTTTCACACAGCACAGTTATAATTCAGTGATTCCACTTTAACATCCAATGATCCAACCCACAGAATCCGGAATTTGCAGTTTGGGGAGGGGAATTTAGAATTCTATTAGAGCTCTAGTGCATCACTTGATTCCAAACCCAGGATTTCATAGGAAGTAGCAATGGCAGTTAAAGTAGAATCATAGCTCTAGAAGTATATGGTGAAAAGGATCCAGAGCTCATGCCATTTCCAGCTTTCATATTTGCTATACATGTCTACCTAAATATTAAAACACAGCCAAAAAACATTAATTGCACTGAGAGTTCTGTCATCTGTCCAATATAAAAAATTGCCCACAAATTCTGAGAGATGTGCTTACAAGGTGTGATGTCGGCTTAAATCTTCGCTACAAAGTTGTGTCTTGCAAAGGAACTCGTAATAGTATCCCCCCCAAAAAGCATTCACAAAAAATGCCAAATATATTAAATATTTAAAATGTAATATATTCTGAGTGTTTAGCATTTAATGCTGATTTTTTAAAAAACAGCATTATGACTGGAAATCTGTTGGTACACTTCTCCAGCATTTGCAATATTATTCACTATTTCCAAGATCATACATTTGTGAAAAAGGAAAGCACACAAAACCTGCCCCCTTCAAGCAGCTTATTTTTTTCCCAAAGCCTTGCTTTTTTGTGACTGTTGCAGCTTCAGCTTTTTCTCCTGCTGCCACTCATATAAGGCACCAACAGATTCCGAACGATGTTATCAAATTGTCACAGTGATTCTTGACAAACACACAGCTCATCTGCTGTCGCCTCGTGTTTTTAGAGGCTGCACGGTCTGCGGTTGAGATAATTAGCACTGTTTTTTAGGTGCCTACCCCTTCCACTTTAAGAACCTAACAGAAAAACTGAACCAAGAAAACTTTCCCTATCCTTTTATTTTCTCTGCAGTTTGCATATGTGTTATAAAAGAAACAGAATGCTCACACTCAAACAGGTACAGAAAAGGGTTTAGAAATAAGCAATTTGACTTGAAAACTAAATAGACAGCCACTCCGTAGTGTTATTAATCTAGACTTCTTCTTCTTCTTCTTTTTTTTTTTTTTGGTGTCAGGAGTGACTGGTGTCTTGAGAAACTGCGTTGCTTCTGATGTGGGAGAATTGGCCATCTGCAAGGACATTGTCCAGGGGATGCCTGTGTGTTTCACAATCCTGTGGGAGGCTTCTGTAATGTTCCTGCTTGGGAAGCTGGAGCTGACAGATGGGAGCTTACTCCGCTCCCCGGATTTGAACCACCGACCTTTTGGTCAGCAGTCCTGCCGGCACAAGGGTTTAAACCATTGCACCACCTAGGGTTCTTATCAATCCAGCTTAATCTGACTATAGCATCCTAATTGCATGGTAAATGTAGCCAAAGTCTCAAGTAGCAAAAAGTTTAGGGAGGTGTCTTCTACCTCTCTAGAAGGGTCCAGATCCTATGGTTTGATTGGGAATTATTCATAGCACACAGTGCCAGTAGGAAATAGCTACAAATCATATCTACTTTTTCTTTTATTACTGATTAAAGTGCATCTGCCCCTCCAACTTTTTAAAGTTATGTATGGTTTCAAAGACAAAAAAAGACTTATTTATTAGGTTGCTTCTGACTTAAGCAACCTAAGGCAACCGTATCACTGGTTTTCTTGGCAAGATTTGTTCAGAGGGAAACTCTCCTTGCCTCCCTCTAAGGCTGAGAGAGTGTGACTTGCCAAGGTCACCCAGTGGGTTTCCATGGCTGAATAGGGAATTTGAACCTTCGGCTCCAGGGTTATAACCCAACGCTCAAACTCACCCTCTTTTTACCATGTTGATTCATCTAGAATAGAAAAATCACATAGATAATAAATAGCAAATGTTTGCAATTTTGACAACAGCTGTGCTCAGTTCTATACAATATAGATGGCTAAATAACTAGGTATTCTACAGATAACGCAGTTCATAAAATAAAATTAAATATTGTTGCACAGAAGCTTGATGAGTCTCAGATAACATTTAAAACTTCTGCAGAAAGTCAGAGGCAAGAAACATGTGATGTGTACTTAATCATAGACTATATTCAGAAGTATGTTAGTCATCCTTTCCCTGGATGGATTGACTTCTTGCCATTATCTTTAGGGTATTAGTTCCTGCTCAGATCATTGGCTAGCTGGTAGCTACACATGAAATATCAGAGATTCTCTTCAACAGACCTCTGGCAGCTAAATTTAGAGCATCTCAGCCAAGCCAGATAAGAGGGGAATGTAAGTGAAATTTCATTGACTTTGACATTTCTGATTCTGACCGACAAACAGAAAACAAGGAGCAGGTGCAGCAACTGTAACCACAGAAACAAATGCTTTGTGCAGCAGTTTTATCTTACATGCATCATAAATTCTAATATATAAATTGTGTAGCAAAGTACAGCTGCATTAAGAGGAAAATGCCAATTTCAAGTACATTTTTGGTGCAGAACAGAGGTATTCCTATTAGGATGGGCAGCTACTTGTGTACTAAACCTCAAATTATGATATATAAACTTCATGTTGTGATAGATGAAAATGGATTTGGTTTGGCACATCCCCATCTTGTTAAAAAACACGTGCCTATTGAGGCATCCAGTCTTAAGAATAAGCACAACTGATCCTTGTAATAAGTGTAAACATTTTGTACAAACCATGTAGAGAACTAGTAAGTTTGAAGCCAAATTTAACTCTATTGTAAATTGCACATTTAAATTAAAAACAGCATACTTTGAGTCTTTAGTCACTCTAGTGGGTTTGTGGTCGAGGTGGCAAAGACTCGCAAGTTCATTCTCAGCTGCCCCATGTTTATATGAACATCAATTCATTGCTCAATGTAGAAAGTGCAGAACCTTTCACAAGCTCATTGCTCAGGTATAACAAATTGCAGCAATTCTCCAGAATCCCTTCTCCCTCCCAACTTCGGTTGAGGCTTTCCTACCTGTGATGAGAGCTTCTGCTGTAGCCATATGCATAAAAGTATTGTCACTTACTGGCCATTTGTCAGGGGACATGACCAGGTTTTCGAGCCCTCCAATTTCCTTCAGTTCTCCTTGGATCTTTGCACCTAAAGCATTGTTTTCCTGTGTGAAATTTCTATAGCCCAGAGCATCCCCGACCCCTGCAAGCAGCATAGCAGTCTTGAATTTGTCCATGGTGAGATGGCTTTGATGGCTTCTTAGTTCTATTTGGTCTTCAAAAAGAGTCACTTGGGAGTTCCTTTGTTCCTTTGCCTTCAAGCTCAGGTCAAGCGACACGTTATATTAGAGCCATTGTGTCATTGCACAGGGCTCTCCCTATAAGGCCAGGCTTTCCTTTTCAGGCTTTGCAGATGCCACCACTTGTCCGACATCCATTGAAGGAATAAAAGTTGTTAGTCCATCCAGGAATTTTCCAACTTGCTTTTAAGTTGCAAGCACACCCAGTGTCTAGCACACTAGTAGATCCAAATAGCAAAAATCAGAAAGACTCAACGATCCAGTAGAAAAGCAGCCAAGAAGTATTTCGCTTATGCAGTTTGAGTAATTCTACACCTAGAAAAACACATGGTGTTATTGGGAGACTTATTTTTATGGCTATGCAAATGGATGAATTTTCTTTGATTTTGGATCACTGCAAATCCAGTTACACTTCAACAAACACTGAGAAACACACATATTAAGCAGTAATTTCATTTATGGACACAAGTCGGAAAAATAAAACAATGTGGTCAACAATATGGAAAAAAAAACGTAATAGAAAGCCACTGCTTCTCCGGTTCTTAAATCAATTGACCTAGCCTTGGTATTGGAGGCCCTGGAAAACTCAAAATGTAATAGTGAAGCTATAAGAAACGTATGAACAGCATTTCTTTGGGCTCTTGCATTAGAATCAGATTTTCTCTGCACAGAGGAGGGGTATTTTGAGGCAACCAGGGATTCCCAAAGGATGCTTAGCTGAGGTTTCTGGTTTCTTTCATGAGTATAAGTCCTTTCTGCCCATGTCCTCATTTGAGTGAGTAAAATAATTAGGATAACTACTTCTTTATTTCCCCTAGATGCAGAAATAGCAGATCTGAGATTTAAATTAGTTGATATAAGCAAATATGTGATACAGCTTCATAAAACTACAAAGAGGCACTTTTGTAAAATTAACTCACATATTAACAAGAGCTGCTAAAAGAAAATAAACACTTTAATATTTTCTTCATAGCACTTGGCATTGATGGGAGTTATTTCTTACTATAACAACACAAACATGGTTTTACAAACCAGAGAAGTGCATGAACCATCAATATTTTAGAATAATCACCTTAAAAATATAAGCTTGTTAACATTTCAGAGAGCACATCCCACTTTCATTTCCTGCAGCAGTTAGAAAGGCAAAACCTATTGCTGAGAAGTATGGATCTGTCCTGAAGATCCGTGTTGCATTCCCATAGATTCATGGCTGGTCTAGTACAAGTCTCAATTGTTTTATGATGTCCACCGCAAGAATGGGACAAGGACTGCAATTGTGACTGCTGCTACATTTTTCTCTGTTTATAATCTTTATGCATTATTTTCTCTCTTTTAACCCTTTGTTTTATTAATTAATTTATTTTTATCTCACTTTTCTCCAATGGGTGGGATTCAAAGTGGCAAACAAAAGTAAAAAGCAGCAAAAATTGCATAACAAAAGTTCACGAAAAAAATAATATAACTAAATAAACAGATTACATACTACCTAAACCATATATAACAAATTAATAAATTAAGATATTATACTGTAAAAAAATTCTCTGACTCTCAGGGAATTTTGTTGTTGTATTTTACAACAATACATTGGACTGAATTGTGGAGATTAACAAACTATATGAATTTAATTGAACACTTGTAGCCTATCTCACACACAGCACACTGTAGTATCTAAGTAGACATATCTCAGAACAAACAGCTTAATTCACATATGTAAAATGTACTTAGGTATCCAGTTGCCATTTTTTCCTATTTTTGTCAACTTTGGGATCCCTCCGGTGATATATCAAAATAATGTAAAAATGTTTGCGGAGTTTCAGCTATGCATCCGTGTTTTGAATACTACCTTATAAAAGCAAAAACATCCCAGGAAGAAGGTACACTGAGCTGGTCAACTCCAATCATACAGATGTTTTGTTTCAATGTTATTCTCTACATTGTATTATAACATAATGTAACACTTGGACTAAAACAAAATGACCAAAAAAGGTGGCTGGTTAATAGAAATCATTAGAAGTTGAACATTTAAAAACAAATCAGTTACATTATTGAATTTGAAAGGAACTCCCTTGTTGCTCTTTTCGGACTTACCTGCTTTAGTGGGACCTAAAAGTGGTGGCACATACTATCGTATTTCTGGCAAAATGCTCCAAGGGAGCTGACCATGTTGTACTTAGACACTTCATAGATTATCGGCTAACTGCCCTGCCGTCAGATTAAAGAGATCTATTACATGACATACTGGCATCTAGTGGTGGAACTACAGATTGGCTACATGCAGTTTGCACGTTTCCCACTAAACAAGAGGTTTACCCATGCAGTTGATATTCTGAAGGTTTAATTTCACCATGAAATTGGGCACTTTGATGTCAGCTTGCCTGGAATTACATGCTGTTGCCCTACTTTGGAACTCACGGAGGAGTTTTGCATATTTTACCACAAGTGTTATATTAAACCAATACACACAATGGAGACCAATACAAGTTTATTCTTTTGCTCACATTCTCTATTTGATTTCCTTTAGGATGATCAGGGATAGTAGGACTCCTGTAATGTTGACAACTATGCAGAAGAGGAAGTTTTAGAAGGCATGCAAGTGTGAAAAAGGTACCTTTGGCTATGGTCACTCATCCTGCTCAGGATGAACAATTCGGCTTTGAATCAACTTGTTCTCTTTTTTGTGATACAATTGCTGCATCCCATTTTAGATCAACCTGCAACTCCCTGTGTGAATCCTAATCTAACACTGCACCATTAGCTTTCAACTATCCACTTTGCAAAGTACGATTCAGCTATGGTTCAATACACATTGACTTAAGTGTAAGGCCCAGTGAATACAATGGCTTTTGCCCCAGAGGAGACCTAAATAAGATTACACTATTAAGCACTTTTGAGAACATTTCATATGGGAGAATTAAACATACACACACTGCAATTTCACTGACATCCGTGGAGGTTCAAATGGTCTTAACATGGGCTAGATCATAATATGCCTACGGTATTTGATTCAATTATTATATCATGATATTGAAATATCAAAGCCTTTTCTTGTTATTTCTGAATGTAAGGTATCAACATTTACACAACAGACTCATTGTGCTGCTACATACCGATCAAGTACAGATGTAACTTGTTCAGGTCACTTTTAAAATGAGAAAATCAAGCTTTTAAATAGTGAATCTCATCAACCTCCCTATAAATCTAGAATCTTGGCACCAAGCTGAAGAGATCAGTCCATAAATCTTTTACAGCATTATTTCAACAATGTTTTATATTTGTATAAAAATACCACATACCACACATTTTATTTAGGGATTTAATTTATATACCACAAATACTGCTTTTAATATAAGTACAATATAATACAGTTGTAATTATGTAACTGCTGGTGTTCACCCTGGGTCATGAACTGAATGGCATGCTGTGCTGTCAAAACTTTACTAAAATGGCCTCTAGTTAAAACGTCTCCAAAGTATAAAATCATGCAAGATCTACATCCTATATGATACAACCAGTACAATAATTGAAGCCAATATCCTACAAACAGCCGGGGGGTTATCTTCTGAATTTCATCTTGCAGTGTCCATGAGTAAGCCATCATTTTCTTGAAGCAGAAGTAGTGATTTCCATTTTGTCAGTGGCATCCCGCCATGGCATTCGAAACCAGTGTCAGTGTGCACAGTTATTGGCCAAAATGTCTTCATTACCTGATGCAGTTCAGACTGCAGATTTAAGTCCACTAAGAAGAGTCTATGGTTAGGATGCTTTACGTTTTCCTCCTGTGACTACCGGCCGTGCATATTCCACAAAATCATCTATTAGAACAGGCCACGCTCCTAAAGAAAAGCCAAGTTTCAAATCAAAACTTTGTATGTTTAAAAAGATCCATTACATCGAAACCATTTTATCTTTAAATACTGCTATTTGCTCAAAACCCAACATATTCCAGTCATGTGAAAACAGATGAAATCCTCCAAGAAAAGTAAATTTTACAGCCAAGTGTTTAATAGTGAAGTACAATGCACCTCATCTACATTTTGTAGCCAACATAATCCATATGTATACAGGCAGTCCCTGAATTACAGACATCCAAATGGGGTGAGACAAGAGGATGTTAGAGGAAATCTACCCCTTGGAGGGGAAAATCACTCCTGGAAGAGTTATCATGAAGAAAAGATGTCTCTACTGAAGCTTTCTCACCAATAATTGTTTCTACAACAAGCCACATTTTTCAAAATCCAATTATCATAGGAACAGAAAGTGAGGTAAAATTTTCTGAACAGGGGCAAACCAATTGTTATGGGGGTGTTAATCCCTTTTTATGCTATCCAATTTTTTTAATGGCTACATTTTTAAAAAGTACCTGTCCCAACTTACATACAAATTCAACTTGGTTCTGACCCAACTTATCTGTCAAAACTTATCTCTCCCAATAAACCTGCTAAAGTGTTAAGATCTTCTGGGGAGGCCATGTCTTTGGTTCCACCCCCAGGTATGACTGATGGTGATGAGAGACAGGACCTTTACAGTGGTGGCTCCTTGGTTATGGAACTCCTTCTCTAGTGAGATCAGATTGGCCCCCTCCCTCCTGGTTTTTAGAAAAAAAGGTGAAAACCTGGCTATGCAATCAGGCGTTTGGATAGTGTAATATGGATTTGGCATAATGTAGCTACACAAATAATGACTGCAGGACTAGGTATCATGTTTTTAAAGGTTTGTAGTATTTATATGTTTTTATCTGTTTTATTGTTTATAGAATACATTGTTTTCATATGCATGCATTTGCGGCATCGAATTGTGCCAAAGCGTAAGCTGCTCTGAATCTCCTTCAGAGTGGGAAGAGTGAGATAGAAATAAAGTATATAAATAAATAAATACGAACAAAATGACAGAACCTATCTTGTCTGTAACCTGGACACTGCCTGTACATGGATTCACATTCAATTCATGTAAAATTAACTGGGTTGGATACAGACTTACACTTTTAGTAAGCTGTTAAAATAAACTGTTTTAACTGAAACTATACAGACTTAGTTGAGTTTACTCTAAGTATGAGAAAGTCTGCATCCAAACCACAGCTATGTGTTCAATATTACTTGTAGAGGATTATATTTCATTTTGAAGATCCTTATGAGTTACCTTCTTCATCATAGTTTGACATGTCATCTGCAATCATATTTCCAAAATCTAAAAGAAGATTCCAAGTATCTTTAGGAATAGATCTTTTATGATGCTCCTATGAAAGAAAAAAGGAACAATCTGACATAAACCATTTTGAAATTTTGTATAATAAAACTCTGCATAAATTTATTACATTTGATTTAAAATGAAAAGGTCAAGGTGGCAACTACTTCTGTGAAATCATTCTCATAGTGGCAGAAATACAATAAAAAGGCAAAATGCACTTACCAATAAAAATTTATTCCAAAGGTCTAAAAATTTAAATCTTCCTGATAAGACTAAATTCCAATATGCAATTGCCATTTCCAGATCTGAAAGATATAAGCATAACATAATCATATGAATCATATTTTAGACCTCTTACTATAAAAATAGTGAGCCAGAGAATACAAGAAGGACAAACATATAGCCACATAAAATGTGCCTTCAATGTAATATACCTCCATCATAGTTGCTTAGAAATTGTGCTTTGTTAAAATGCTTTTGGGGAAAAAAATAGTCAATGTACTTTTCATAATATGCACACTTTAGCTTTTTGTTTCCAAATAAGTCCCCTTTAAATTTTAAAAGTAAACACTACTTCTTGCAATAAAACCAAAACAGTATTTTTTTGAATTCCAGTGACTTGTTAAAGAGAAAAAATACTTCTAAATATTACTTATTAAAAATACTTCTAAATGTAATACAGCCTGCCATTATGAGTAATTAATATTAACTTGCAATGGTATTATGTCATTTACCAACATTAAATCAACTCTTGTCATAAGAAACAATACAGGGAAGTGTAGATCTAGGAGACCAGTATCAAAGTGCCAAAGACAGTGAAAGGGGCTTAAGATTTGTGAATGAGCCCAAATTTAATTGCTGGTTTATTACAATATGGCTTATTGAACCAGCAGCAGTATATTTGAATGAGACAAAGTGTAAAACTGGCAGGGAAATACATGTCCAAAAGTCAATCAGGAAAATGTTTGGAAAAGATTTTGGCCTAGAGGTATCACAAGATCAGTTAGTCACAAGTCAGTGTGTGATCTGAATGGCATGAAGTGCTGGGTATGACTTATACAACCTTATCCAGACCATATGAACATTTATGTCTTCCTATATAACTGCACCCAAGTTTTAAGAGTCGTAAAGGTAAAGGTTTTCCCCTGACATTAAGTCCAGTCATGTCCAACTCTGGCGGTTGGTGCTCATCTCCATTTCAAAGCCAAAGAGCTGGTGTTGTCAGTAGACACCTCCAAGGTCACGTGGCCGCCATGACTGCATGGAGCGCCCTTAACTTCCCACCGGAGCGTTACCTATTGATCTACTCACATTTGCACGTTTTCGAACTGCTAGGTTGGCAGAAGCTGGGGCTAACAGCAGGAGCTCACATTGCTTCTTAGATTCTAACCTGCGACCTTTTGGTAAGCAAGTTCAGCAGCTCAGTGGTTTAACCCCCTGTGCCACCAAGGGCTCCTCAGGGGCACTTGATCTTTGTTATACCATTTTCAAGGGCACATTTGTTGAGGATATATGAGAAGACCTTCTAACCTATACTAGTATGTACTAACTTTGATCCCATGTGGGAGTAAGGACAGATATAAATAAAATTAAATACTGGAGATGGTTGCTGTGTGAGGACAGCTAAGGAAGTGAGGAAGGGAGAACAAATTAGAACCCAGATAACAAGTTCTGTGAAGAATTTTCCCAACACTTTGCAAGCACAGTCATTCAGATTCAGTCTGACTCTGACACTGTAACTGAGGCAGATCCAGGAACATAATCTTGGCTTCTGCTTGGACTGTGTAATTGGATATGTTTCAACATGTGCAGCCTGAAAATTTGGACAGAGGATTCTTGGGGAACTGAAAAGCATTAGCATACCAGTACATTGAAATAACCAGCACTGGAGTGGTCGAACAATTAAAAGGAATAGTTGATACCTCATTATCATCAGATAGATCCCACCCAGCTTATAAAACCATTTATTGGGGGGAAATATCCACAAATGCAACATAGTATCAGAATTAGATCCTCACAGCTGCAGGGATTCCTGGTTGAAATTAATGATTTGTACCCAAGATATAAGTCTTGTTTAGGATATGCACAGCACTGGTCACTTTGACCTGCAACAGGAATTGGACAAGAAGCGTTTTCCTGTTGCTTCTGATGGCACTTTTGGCAGTTTTAGATACCATCCATCATAGTATCATTCTGGGCTATCTCTCTCAGGTAGAGCCTGGAGACACTATTTTACAGTGGTTCCAGTGATTCATGGTTTCTGTTTGACACTGTGACACTGAGCTCGGATCTGTCCCCAGTAAATGCTGTTCAATAAATACATGAAATCAGTGGGAGAAGTTAAATAAATAAAAAGAAATAAAGGAAATAAAGGAAAGGTCATTATGAGAGAACTCTTTTTGGGAGAAGACTGAGGATCCAGTTCACCTGAGAACAACAGGAATCTGTGTTGTGAAACACTGGCAAAGCATTATGCACACAGCAGAGCCCAACACCAGAAGGTTTCAAGGAGAGATTTGAGTAGAGAGAGCTTTGGCATGGATTCTTAAGACTGAAACAACCTAGAAGCCAGAGGCAACAAGAAGACTACTAAACACCATCTGTTCCTGTTTGTGACTAGCTGGGATAGCTTAAGGAAATCTGGACTGAGGGAAAACCTACTGAGACATTACCAGCTGGAGAAGACTTTCTAGCAACAGGAAAGGTAACTAAGCATATCAAATCTACATACATTTAAGCAGCTGTAATATAGTTTTAAATAGCAAATATTTATTCTCTTTCAAAAATAAACAGCTTGGTTATTTATCTCATCATGGTATCAATCCCATGTCTATAGAAGATGCCACCTGTCGTAATTAGGTGCTATTGGAGACTAAGATTCTTAGCTTTACAAACTCAATTTTTGGTGAAGGTAGAGACCTTTCATCACTTATTATATAATCATATGGCATCAAGATGCACATTTGATTCTGTGGTATGTTTGCTTATCCTATTTGGTACCTACAAGATCTCCTTCTCCTGCACAACCCACCTTTTAGGACACTTGAGTCCTCTGGTGGATGCTTACTACAAACAGCCAGGACCTGACTTGCGACCGTCACCCAGAGGACCTTTTCATTGGCTGCCCCATGACTGTAGAATGACATGCAGGAAGAGGTCCGAATGATAAATGAGCTGTCAGAATTAAAAACACAATTGAAGACCCATCTCTTCCAGCAGGCCTACCAGTCAATTTTCAAACATGAGTTTTGATTTACAATCTATTGCTACTACGTGTCAATCCTGTATCTGTGTTTGGTGCAATTTTTTAAATATATTTTGTGTTTTTATCTATGTAATTTATTGTATATATTTAACATTCATATGTTTTTGACTTTGTTGTTCCCCTCCTAAAGCTGTCAGGAAACGCAGGTAATAAATAAATAATTATTATTATCATCATTATTAGATACACAACAAGATTAGTACACAGCAAACAAGAGCACTATGCTGGCTTGTTATTGTTGTTGTTGCTGCTGCTGCTGCTATTATTATTATTATTATTATTATTATTATTATTATTATTATTATTATTATTTCTTTCTCTAGGATACACTCTGGATTTTAGCCTTCCTCCATGCCCAGCTCTGTTTGTGAGACAATGCTAAACTGGAAAAAAAAAAACAATATTAGCTGAGGGTGTATTCTTAAATGATTCTTAGTGCATGAACACAAATATTTCCTTCTCAAGATAGTACCTTTATCTTGTAAGCCCTCACCAATGTCATTCACAGCTATCCTGTCTGAGCCTCTAAGATAAGGCTGGCATTCCTTTGGCGTGATAGATTAACTTAAGAAGATCTTGGTTTTGAAAATTGGCTGAAAACTTGCCATTGCCACTCCTTCTTAAACCAAGTGTATACTGACATGCCAATTTGAGACAAATTTAAAACCAGACTATGTTTATTCATGAGCGATCAGAATAAATTGCAAGTCTCAGCTAAATACATAATTTTAGGGGGTTCTATTTGGAGAGTAATATATATATATTAAATGTTGTAGTTCTGAAGTAATTTAAATTCAGAATTTTGATCTGGAAAATACTGGAATGTCTGAATAAAAATTCAATTATGTTAATCTGTCAACAAAAATTGCATTAATTCAGCAAATGAAACTTTTTCTACTGAGACATAACAACTCTAAAGTGAAGCCATAATCAAGTACAGTACTGAAAATGTTCATGTCTAACTTATGAGTCAACAACTTCTGACTCATGTGACTCCAGCTGGGACAATGTTAGAGTTTGGCAGCAGTGTCAGGAACCTGGAAAAACTGTATAAAAACTATAAAAATCTGCACCTCAATTTACTAGCAATTTTTCCATCTTCAGTTTAGAGTAGCTACCCAAAACCTGTCCATACACTAGGATTATTTGCAAAATATTCAAAGGCTTTCCTCTTTAAAATATGGAATGCCATTTGGCAAATTTCTGGGCTTTACAGATAGAAATTAAAAATATAAATTCTGCATTCTATCTGTAATGAACAGCAGTAGTTTGGTTCATGTACGTTTACAAATAAATTCTACTTAGTTCAATAGGACTTATTCCCAGGTGAGCATATATAAGATTTCAGACAAGTGACTAATTAATTATTATTGCATTTCCTACTTGCCATTGATTTTTAAATCTAATAGAATACTTCATGTAAACTAAAAAGCTTTATAAAGAACATCCAACTTTCTTGGCAAGAATTATTCAGAGACTTTCCAATGCCCAACTCTTAGACTGAGAAAATGTGACTTGCCCAAGGTCTCTCAGGGGGCTTCCATGGCCTGGCAGGGTGTCAGACCATAGCTGGCCAGAGTCATATTCTAACACATTTATTCTGCACTGGCTCTCTAGGCCATATAACTCACACTCATGTTTTTAATTTAGATGTACACTAATGTTTTTTGAACATTAAAAATGTTTTTTGAATTTCCTGTGTTCAAAAAACCAGGAAATCTCTCCCAAGATTTTACTGCTATTCTATTTGAAGCTGATGAATCAATGCGTTCCCCTTCCCATCAAGTAACCTACACAAGAGATGCACACCTTGGAGAACCTGAAATGAAAGATTAACAAAAGAAGCACTGCTCGCCTGTTATTAATAAGTAGGTTGTTATTCCTAATACAGTACTTCTAGGAAAAGTTTTAGGAAAGACTTTCAGCTGAATCATGGTTTGAGTAACTGTGCAAAAAGGCTATTCTAAATCTCATCAAAAGTGTACTCTTGTCTATGTTGCAAGTCTCACTCCATAATATCATTGAATTAAAATCCAATATGTTCATGTGCTATGCGTTAGTGCAGATATTTCTAATCTGAACTAATCTGAACAAATACCAAATATCAGTGTACCAGTTTTCTTTCTACATCTTAAGTCTGACATGCATATTTTTCATGCAACTTAACCCAAACCACTCTGAAACCCAACCACCTGCATATATAAAAATCCTGTTTTATGAGCACACTGCCTTACTACATTTTCATCACATCTGACAAGCATATTGTCTAGGATATGTATTTTCATGACAGTCAGACATGAAATTAAAACTCTTGAATTGAACAAGGTCCCAAAACAAATATTTTCATATAACACTGTTGAGCGAGTGGGAACTTAAACTAGATTTTCCAAATAAACACAATATTCAAAATAACAAGAACTTCAGCGTAAACACTTACGAATGTTCCACTGATTTAATGACTCTAGTTTAGTAGGGACTAAGACTAGATTTAGGCTTTAAAATGATCAAGGCCTACTAATAAGCAAAAAATTACACTAAGGATTTTGTTTTGAATAATAATGTAAATACAACTTCCAAAAATGTCTAGACATAGTAAGTTGATTTTCTGTTTATATCTTTCTTTTTGACTTTATATAGATGCAAAGCTATACATTTGGTTTGAACCCTTTTGCATTAAGACATGTTCTATATCTGCCCCACTGGCTCATAATCAGAAATACAAAGCTAATTTACTAATTGACTGTGACATGAAAATAAGACCATATTCACATAGCCCAGAAGGGAAAGTTATATGCAGAAGGAAACACATTGAGACAGAGCATCTGGTGGGTGTGTAATTTCTATGTAAAAAGCTGTATAAGTAATGCAAAAGCAGGCCCACTGAACCCTAAAGACTTTGGGCAAGAAATGTTTATACTATCTTTAAAGTTAAAGATGGTAAATGTGGTGGGATTGGGAGTAAAATTCTTCCCCTTTGGCATCTCTACAGGCCACATCCCCAGGAAAATGTCAAAATACCATTATTTTCCTCTAGTTCCCCTTTGAAATGGTGACCAAAAGATGGGGAAGTCCCCTCCCACCATGAATACACACTTGAGGAGTTTTAAGTGGAAGATTCAGGAAATTTTCATCAGAATATCAAACAAGCAAATATTTCAGTTTTCTGGGGTTTGGTGGCCACAAAAAGAGGCTCCAGAGGTTGCACTCGGTCCACATATTCTCCATTCCTATTACAAAAGAGTGATTATATTTAACAAAGCTTTCATGAAACAAAATTCCTGCAGTCAGTATTCTGTTCTCACTTCATTCCATGTACATCTCTGACTTATTGCTAAAGAATCCAAAATTATTTCTTCCCTTCTTGTTGTGTTCCTCAGATAGAAATCTGGTTATGGAGTATCAGGGAAAAGCCTTTCCAATCATGGCAATCAAATTATGATGGAAATGTCTTCACCAAGAAATTCAGCTAGCGACTTTCATTGTCCATTTTCAAATGGGCATTGAATGCTTTATTTGCATTGGAGGAGGTCATTTGTTGACAGCTCTATTTGTGCTATGATTGTTTTACTTTATCATATTATAAATAGTCTTCATTAGACATCTTTTCTACCCAAATCATGATAGAGATTTATCAACTAATGATAGGTTTCAACTGTACTGAACAACCATTTGTATTGCCTGGAAGGATGAAACTGCATATCTCTTAATTATTACATTTTAACATTTTCTAAATAAATAACACAGTGTACTTATTGAAGTAGATGTATCCATCTTTCTAGAAGAATTTACAAAGTATTCACACTTTGACTTCACTCCTTTTCCACTTAATTATATGGTTAGACACTTCTTTTAAACTGGACAGAATAACTAAAAAGAATGACTCCGCAAACTTTCAACAGCATCCTTAATAACTGCAATAAGAAAAAGCTGATTAGTAAAATAATATTGATTGACTTCTCTGTTCAGCTTATAAAGAACTCACCTAAACCTTTTTGTCCAGGATTTTTAGCAAAGTTAAAGGTAAACTGATAAAAATCTTTAAACTTCATTGGATCCTTTAATTCTTGTTCCAGTCTTGGCAAAAGAGCTTTTAGTTTGTCTGTGGTATCACACCTGGTAAAAAGACATTATTCGTATTATGACATTTAAAAACTACATTATATTCAGTACACTCAGTAAAACTAAAAACCAGATAAAACACAGCAGAACTAGATCTAGGTGAATGCATCTCCAGAAACTTATTTACTAGATACATATGGAGATTACGGTTTCTCAGGCAGAAAAATGGAAGGCGAAAAAACTTTTAAGTGTCCAGTTCGATAATTTATCTTGGAAAGGTGCTAAGATTCAGTTAACATTCCTATGACAAATTTAATGCAGTTTAATTTAACTAGCAACTGCTTTATTATTTTCACTCTATCCTTTTCTCCATGGCCAACACTAAATCATTTAGATGTTATTGTCACCATAAACATTTGTCAGCTGCAAACTTTTTTGTTGACAAAATCAAAACATATTTAACTAATTCAAATAAAAAACACATGTATCCATTTTTATAAAAGGATGAAGAGAAAGTAGGATTAAAAGGGGTGTAAATAAACACTATATGTTTTCCTCTAGATATTATACATTCCAGGATGGATGGAAATGAACCTTTGATTACAACACTGCCTTCTAACGAGCATAGCGTAAATTATTATGCTTTCCAATAATTAGGTGGCATGATCATTCACTCAAAAGCCAGCTGACTTGATTATATGAAATTTTTTAGTCCCTCTGTTCCTTTGTTTTTTATTGCTGAATCCAGAAAGATTCAAACCTAAGTAATACGGATTCTGACACTAGTACTTAAAGGGTTATAAACAATGCTCTCAAGTTTTATATACAGCTTTTTTTCAAACAAACAAGACAGTCAGGACAAAAATTACCTCAACAAATCTATGTTTTTTGCCAGCCAACATAGCATATTAGGGACAAAAACTTTCTCAAGCCATTTTTCTCTTAAGACGTCATGGTGCAGAGAACCAGAAAGGACGCGTTGTGGCTGCTACTAAATTACTTCCATTCAAGGGGACACATAGGGATTTGCAGTGGAGTCAGTAAATGTAAGAAATATACGTGAGACTCTAACCCCCAATAGACTATTTAATGCTGGTGATAGAACTAGAACTCAGTGGTATGTAAAAGTGAAATGAAAAGGTTACAGTCATCACATTGTTCTTTTGCTATGTGCACTACATACTATATGAATGGAAAGGGATCCTGTAGCCACTTTGAGACCAATTGAGAGAAAGAAGTTGTCGTATAAGCTGTGTAGACATAGCCTGCTTCCTCAGATGACTACAAAAGCTAATGCTACATCATATTTCTCTCAATTGGTCTCAAAGGCACTACAAGATCCCTTTGCAAACTGATATTCCAGACTAACAGGACAGCATCTTTGAATTTTACCTGTATGTATGGACATAGCCAAGCAGCCTTACAAACACAAGTGCTGGCATTCTTTGAGGTGGGTCTATAACTTTCACAGAATTAATATTTTAGTTGTGCCTGCACCTAATGAGTTACTTTATGACATAATGCACTTCTTGATAGGTATCCCACCTTCCATGCATTTTAACAATACACTGGTAAGTCAACGGTGGCAAATGACTATCAAAGGGGCAACCATTCTGTTACCTTGAACACCTTGTTGGGAAAGGAACATGTCAACCCAATTGCTGTTTTACTTATTTACAGTTACAAGTGACAGTATAGCTAACCACAGAACCTCTCATTTGACTGACCTCAATGGCTCCACTAGATGAGGCAGTTCTTTAAACCCACAAAAAACAGCAACTCTGTAAAATTCCTAAGAGTGGCATGACTCAACAATAGCAGTGCTATCAATTAAGCAAGGGGGGGGGAAGACATGGGGTCTGATCCCAGCTCTCTTCATGTTGATTTAATTTCATAATTGCTCTCAAAGCTCTTGCTTCTGGATTCAGAGGCAATCTAGCTTGACTGAGCACAATTCCAAAATATCTGGTCTGTGCACAGAAATAATTCCTTGCAGGTGTCGTTGATCTGTTCATAATGAGCAATAAAGCATTCTGGAGGGGGGGGGGGAAATAGGCATTGAGTGTGTAATTTCACAGTTCTATTTACTCTCTGGAGTTTTCATGTTGTGATGAAACATACTGTGCCCAGTTAGAAATCAAAGCACACGTATGACAACACTCATTTTCCCTTGCAAGCTTTATTTTTATTTTTAAAATTTGCTCAACGTAACATCCTTGGTATACCTGAGGACCCAGAATAGAATTTAAAGAAAGTTAATTTTACTTAGTTCCTGTTGCAATTGATAAAACTTGGGTCATGACCCCACTGCTTAAAAATATACTCTGAGTTCAAAAAGAAATGTCTAAATATGGACTTAGGCGAAGGGGACAGGGAAAATCTAGAGATCAGGGAACTGTTTTATTCTGTCTAGGGAAAGCCCTATGTCTAACATATTTGCAAAACACACAATAATGGAATCATGTGCATGGCTCAGAGCATTTTTTGTAGTTCTTACTGAGACAGTTCCCACAGAGAATTAGACAAGTCACTGTTCAATTTAAAAAGTCGCTTACTTTCTTTGCTATAGGAGCTGTGGATGTAAATGCTACAAAGAAAGCTCCGGATACATGCACAGTTCCTTTGTCAACAAATGGCTTCTTGGACTGCAGCTCAGGTCATCTGAGTATAAGGAGGACAATATGAATTAAATAAAGCAATTAATGATAATGCACATGTATAGTTATTTTTTCAGAAACTTACTTTGGGTCTATTAAGAGAAATTTGAAGTATTGTTAAAAGCAGCTATACTCACCCCAGTTCTGTCATGCCGTCTATAAATTCTTTTTTACTGAATTCACATTGAGTGGCTGCCCTAAATTTCCATGCTATGACCAAAACACTGATGCTAGCAGGATCTAGACTTAAATCATCACAAAACTGTTGAATTCCGTCAATGCCAATTTTGTTCTCATCTTGTGGATCTGAATTTAAAAAAATCATGCTTTACATTAAGAACTTGTCAATCACATTTAATCAAAAACTTTGCTGGTTTCTTTTTCTATTGCAAACTTAACAGTTCAAAAATATAATCTTTTATTGAAAAAATATGCACATATAAAGTCTTAAATGGATCTCTAATGGTGAATCTGAACGTATACAAAGCACGATTTCTTTGTAAACTGTCTCCAGTACAGCACTATATGTTTTAAATAAAATAGCACAACATAAAATATGGAGACTAAATGTGCTCCCATTCACCATTTCTACTTCCCTGTGAAATCTCAGATACCATTTTATTGCCTTTTCTTGCATAAGTCTAAGTATTCCAAACCAATCAAAAGTTCCACTCATACAAAGTCTTTGCTAAATATTTTTCTGGTGAATTCTTCTGTGTTGGAATGGGAAATGTAAGAGGAAATTAAGGGGCATTTCAAAGGTAGGAGAATATCCAGTATTGGGAAAATATGTGTATAAGGCTTACACAAAAGCTATTGTGGTTCTTGTTCCATTCTCTGCAGCTTTAAATAAAGTTTTCCAACCATTCTAAGCAGCATGAAACTGCAACCTGTGGCAAAGCAAACTGTCATGTCATATGATAGTGCCTTATTTGTAATTATGTTCATCCCTCAATGCCACTGGAGTAACACTACACCTTGACATAGTATCATTCCAGTTAAAAACTGAGGAGAAATGCTGTGGTCATCTGCCTGGCTACTGTTTATAAAAACTCTGCACTTGAAATAATGAACAAATTTTGTTTAACTGGGAAAAAAGGGGGTGTTAATGGTTCACAAGAACATCCACAGCTTTTCTGAGAACTTTGCGTTTTGCCCAACTGATTAATTTTCTCATAGTTCAAAAAGTGGGACTGCAAAAAGTGGGAAAGTATTATTTACCTAGTTCTGAAACTGTAATCAAGAAAATGTGCACATGACCACTTATACTAGTTGTCCTCTCTCTGTATTCAGTATGTGAGAGAAAAGAGCTGGAACCAGTGTTAGCCAGTCAATTATTACATGGCTCATCTGCATGAAACTTCTCAGGAACTTATTTGTTTGTTTCTGCCCCACCTCATTATTATTAGCAGCAAAGGGCAGAGATTCAAGGAGATAAACTTGACAAGATAGGGATTCAGGGCCCCTATGAGAAGAGACAAACATTTCTGGTTACATAAAGAAAAGTGTGGTTATCAGGAGAGAGATTTCTGGAACAGGGAAACAAAAAGGGTGCTGAAATCTGTGCCGGGGTAAAGAGAAAGGGGGAGTGCCATGGAATGCAGAGAGAAAAATAAGGCTGCTAACAGAATCGGAGCTTTTGTGAAACCAATAGCACAAGGGCTGTGACGAGCTACAGAACTAGGGTTTTAAAAAGAACAAGTTTTGCAGAGGTATGAAAGAAAAGTTAACGGAATGGATTGTGTCCCTGAACTTAATTTCAAATCTGTTATATGAAATTTGAAATGAAAGAACTTTTTCTTATTAACCACTCTGTCCTAAGATGTTTAAATAATTTGAGTCAATTGGATCCATTTTGGTCCTCCTGCTTAGGAGCATGTGGCAAAATATATATTAAAATGTAACATAGCAACACTTTTTTTTACAAACATAGAAAAAATCCACACAATTTCTGTAAGAGGGTATTTGTAGAGATTTATGTGCAAACCATTTTCTAATTACAAGAGTCAGGCATGTAGCCGGGGGGGGGGGGGGGGGGGCTTGAGGGGCTTCAGCCCCCCCCCCCCCGAAATTCTCATGGTGGTTCACGAAAAGGCCTTACTGGTGCATTATTTAAACTGTTATGTTTATTCATATCATGATCTGATCAACATACTCAATATATCCCATATGCATGGGGGTATTGGGGTAATGATACAAAAGGTTTGCTAGGGTAGACCCTCTTTCACTCAGACTCAGCCCCCCCCCAAACTCAGCCCCCCCGATAAAACTGAGCCCCCCCCCCCCCGAATCGAAATCCTGGCTACGGGCCTGTCAAGAGTCACTTTGTTCTGATCCTTCTACTGAAGCGCTGAATTGCAGGTGCATTATCAAATATCATACTGTTTAAAGTTTACTTTCTAACGTCTTTGAGTAATCTGTGGAGTATTTGGTTTGCAGATCATCATAACTGTAATGAAAAAAGCAAATTTCCCAAATAGTCACTGCATATGTAATGTACAGTTCTTCTGGCCGTGAAATAGGTTTGAGTAAAATTAAAAATGTTTTGACAAGCAACTTTGAATATAATCCACTGTCGGTGTTACAAGTTTTCAAAAACCTCACTGATAGCCCAGGGAAGCAGAATATTAGGCTTAATTTTATCCCAGCCTCAATTCCAGCTACTGGTTGCAACAAGTAGGGTCTGACTGTCACTTCTCTGTAAACTACCTTCACTAGACAGTGAGTTCACAAAAGGATGCATTTTCCTCCTGTGAAAACAAGAAATCTGAGCCCTATTGCTTTTACCAGACAACATTTGTTGCAATCCTTTGCTTGTTAATAAACTAAAACTGTAGCTGATTAACACAAGTATAAAAAATTGTGGCTCTAATGCTTATTTCTCTTGACTGTAGAAAGATATTTCATTTTAATAGAAAGAAATACATTTCCGTTCTAGTTAATGGAACTACCATATAACTAAGGTTGGGGTTCAGAATTTTACAACATTATATGCTTGTCAGTAACAGGAAAAGCTATGCTTCTTTTGTTATCTGGGAACAGAACAAAGATGCATGCCAACAATATTTAAACAACAAACTAGAAGAAAATATATGAAGTGTGTACTGTTAGCCCTTCCTAACCACTGATTCAACCATCCAGGGCTTGACAATAGCATTCTAGACAGAAAAAACCTTGATTCTAAGGATCTACTTTACAGTTATGTTATGGCCCATATTAACAATGGAGGTCTCGGAAACAAGAGCATTAGAGTACAAAAGATTTAGTTATGAGCAAAAATCTTACAGATATGTGGTTCCTGAGGAAAATGATTAGTAGAAACAAATAACAGATATGATAGATGTGCTGAAGTGTTAAAGAACAAGGTAGGGAATAAAAATCCAAGCAGACTAAGTAGTTTTTTTAAAGTAGATTTTAAGTAGTTCAATAGTGTAATACCTTTACATGCAAATGAAGTAAGTTTCCTATTCAGCCTGTCTATGTGGATGCCAAACAATATAAAAATTTCAGTAAGCTATGTGTTAGCAACAAACCACTGAAAAGTAAATTTATTAGACATGTGTAACAAAATAAGTACCCTGAGCTAGCAACAACAATCACCTTATGAACAACAAGACTCAGAACAAGGAACTGCCAAAATACATTTCTGGAAAATTTTTACTTTTTCAGGATCAACAGGTTTGTTTACCCTGAGAGGGAATCAAAGCCCCAAGTCAAGCATCTCAGATAACAACAAAGATTCTTTGCTATTAGATAATACTAAAGACTCTTGTGAAAAACAACATAAAAAACACTGTGATCACCAAGTGTCACTGCATTTGAGTGAACATCTTCTGAAAGAGCCAGGAATATGAATGTAAGATATGGATGCATTTGAGCTCTATAAAGCCAGCCCAAATTGTAAGATTTGGAGGAGATACCCTTCTTTCAGCTCCATCACCTCTAGAGGTACATTTAGTAAGAACAAAAGGTAAACTTTCACAATAACTACTCCAAAATTGTGGGATGCCTATTTCATTAAGATAGCCCTGCCAGCAAACAAAAGCCTTTCTATTTAGGCAGGTTTTCAATAATTACTACTGTAAATGGAAATGCTGAACTTCTAATGTTTTGTGTTTTTCATTAATTAGACATTTCATTGTTGCAAAATATGTTTTATTGCAATGTTTTGTGTTTTACATTAATTAGATATTTCATTGTTGCAAAATGTTTTATTGCAATGTGTATTTTCATGTATACAATATTTTTGTCTAATGTTGGTAGGAAACAAACAATATCTTCAAAAGCAATTTTCCTCTCAAAAAATTAACTAAATTTTCAGTATTTATTACTTTACTAACAATTTACCAAAAATCTCTATAATGGCAAAAATATCATACAGGTTGTTTACAGCAATATGAACACTTTAAGACAGACCTAAGATGTTAAGAAAAAATGCCACAACTAAACTTCTTACAACTTAAAATAAAGAAAATATTTATGAGTTTAACAAAGATATAAATACTGACCAAATTAAGCAGATGTGTAACAAGAAATAGGCCCACGTGTATTCTTGTTAGACCAGAAACTATAGTTAAAAAGATGCATCCAAATGTGAATGTTGTATTTTCTTTTTTTTACTGCTTTAAATTAATTTGTTTTCTGGTGAGCATATATATGTATTCCAGTGTGGAAATGAATACACATGTGATGTGCCCTTGAGAACACATCCTCTGTAAGCTACACAGCAAGTAAAAACAGTAGCCCTGTTTGAATGAGCATTCAATGTACACATGTAATTCCAGGATGTGATCTGTGTGGGGAATTGGATCAGGGTCAGAAAGTTTAATTATGCAACTCAACACAAATTTCCTTGTGTAATTAATCAAATACCATAACATCCGTTATACCACCTATAAACTGCTAGTGTCTTTCCAACATACGAAGTGGCTAATTTGTTTTTCCTTACCACCAATGCTGTACTTGCCAGGGCTCACATTGTTTCATACAAAATGTTGTAAAATAACTTTCACATTTAAGAAGTTTGCTCACCTCATCAGTATTCATATGGAAAAAAAATTACAACAGAGTGTTACATTACTGTTTACTATGAATTGGTAAAGAATAAAATTTCACTGAGTTCAATAAGGTTTACTTTTTATTATGTGTTTTAGAATACAACCCCTCCCTATTGCTCCCAGGATTTAAACTAAAATAGCACACAATTTCAATGGAAAAAAATGAAACAGAAAACTTACCTTTGTACCTGCTATATAATTGTTCTAATTTCTTCCTATCTATTGAAATTTTCATGGATTCTTTGTAGTACAAGTCTGGATTCTGAAAGTAGTTGTCTGTTGCCACTTCTAGTTTCCATTCATTTTGCATTAAACAGTATATAGCAGTCCTTTCACCAGCCTGGGTAACTGCCATAAACTGGCGGACCTTGTCCTTCTGAGACGATTTAAGTTTATGCTTTGGGATGCAAAAGAAGTACAAAAGCAAATGAAGCCAATCCAGACGTTTGTTTCAGAATTCTACTATAACTGCCTATCTTTAAAAGGGGTTTGGTTCTCCTGTTGGGTAACACATTTCACTCCAGGATAACCGAAGGAAATCCTTTTTCTTCTGTAGTTAAAGGCATCCACTTCTGAAAAGTGAAATGGCAGCACCTATATGTACATTTTAAACACACATACAATAATCAGCTTTCCGGGTAAGAAAGTCTAGCATTGAGAACCCCAGATTTACTTTTAAGTACTTAAAATATCAATGAAATAGTTTCTGAAACAGTTTGTTATAAGCCATATATTTAAAAATATGTCTTCCAGAACATAGACAAGATTAAGATGCTTCAACATCATGTGTCTATTGCAATATTTTAGCTGAATTTCAATACTGTTAATATGGCCTTAAAACACATGACACCTTCCTTCAAGACTGAAACTTCCATATAAAAATCACTTTTGACTAAGAAACTGCATAACTTACACATACTGTTAGTAAACTAAATATATATTACACTTCTCTACTGTATTTAAACATGTTTCATGTAACAAATCAGGAAGCAATTACACTGAAAAAATGAAATGTAATTACTCTTTTTTGTATCTAACAACCAATTACTATACTGAAGTATTAAAACTTTCCCCTTAAAGCACAGTGAGGTTGTCTTTCTTTGTTTCTCCTCTAATGAGTTTTGATTCATATTCCTCTTTTTATGGATAGCGGTGGCGTGTAGGAAAGGCCTGAAAGTTATTAGAGCTCCTACAGGCAACAATAATAGTTTGAAAAAACAGTTTATCACTGAGACGCCAACACAGAAGAAAGTGTTTTTTAAAGAACATTTACAGTTTCTTCTTCTAATTCGGGCACTTGGTGTCAACTTTGTTTCCTCTAAAAGGATCCAGCCATTTCAAGGGAGGAAAGCAAGAGAAAAGAGGTGGTGCCAATGGCCGGGTTAGGGATTAGGGCAGCGTATGGCAGTGACTTGGTCTATAGCCAAACGGAACTCTCCTCCGGTACAAAAGCAGGGAAGGAGACACAGTTTAATGGCAGAAATACACCATATGCTGCTTCCGTCTGCCTGCCAGGCACCTTTGCTCTAGCAGCCTATGAACCACCCTATAAAACCAACCACAGAACAGGTTGAGGCTTTTCAGCAACCAACAGTTTTGTGTATATACATCCATGTATTGAAGGGAGGAGGAATATATATTCAAACTGCCTTGGGCTAGTGTGCAAAAAGTCAGGGAGGCAACAATAGCAAAGGGGCAAGTGACACAAAGTTCTGCACCCTTATCCATAAATCCAAAATGCTCCAAAACTGCCCAAATGGCTGAGAGAGTGACACCCTGCTCTATCTATGCGGAAGACTGAGCCCCTATATCGAGAGAAAGGTGGGATAAAATAATATTTAAAATACTGTGTATAAAATCATCTTCAAGCTAGGTGTATAGGAAACACAAATGAATGTGGCAGTTTAGGCTTGGGTCCTACCTCCAAGAGATTTCATTGTGCATAAAAAAAAAGAAATAAATGACTATTAAAAATCTCTATATAAATGAATCTAATGGTTTTGCTTTGGGTCCCACCTCCAAAAGATCTCATTATGTATGAATAAAGTAAACAGATAACATGTTGTCGAAGGCTTTTGTGGCCAGAACACTGAGTTGCTGTGACTTTTCCGGGCTGTATGTTCATGTTCTTTTCTGACGTTTTGCCTACATCTATGGTAGGCATCCTTAGTGGTTGTGAGGGTTGTTGGAAACTAGGTAAGTGAGGTTTATATATCTGTGGAATGTCCAGGGTGGGAGAAAGAACTTTTGTCTGCTTGAGGCAGTTGTGAATACTGCAAGTGATCACCTTGATTAGCCCTGAATAGCCTTGCAACTTCAAGGCTTGGCTGCTTCCTGCCTGGGGGAATCCTTTGTTGGGATATGATTAGCTGGCCCTGATTGTTTCTTGTCTGGAAGTCCCCTGTTTTTTTTAGTGTTGTTCTTTATTTACTGTTCTGATTTTAGAGTTTTTTCAATACTCGTAGCCAGATTTTGTTCATTTTCAGGGCTTCCTCCTTTCTGTTGAAATTGTCCACATGCTTGTGGATTTAATAAATAACTGTTAAGAAACCCCTGTATAAATGAATCTAAATGAATTTGGGGGTACTTTGAATGCAGTTTTTCTGCTTCTTGGCAGGGGGTTGGACTGGATGGCCCACAAGGTCACTTCCAACTCTGTGATTCTATGATTTTAGAGGTTTTGCCTTGGGTCCCCCACCTTTAAAAGATCCCATTACGTATAAACAACGCGAAGAAGTAATTACTTTTTTAAAATGCTGTATACTGAGTGAGAAGTGAAGAAATAAATTTTAAAAATGCTGTATTGTAGGGTTCTTTGCCCCTACAATACAAAACCACTTTCAGGCTAGGTCTACTGGAAACATCTCCATTACGAATAAGTAAAGTAAAACAAGTTTTAAAAAATACTGTGCATAAAATGCTCCTTGAGGCCAGGCATCTAGAAAGCATAGATGTGTGGTGGTTCAGGTCCCATATAGAAGAGACCCATCTCTGCAAAGGATCCCAAATCTGGAGGGAAAACACCTAAAACTCTTCTGGTTTGGGGGGAGGGAGAGGGAAGCAGGGGGCGCTCAACCTGTAGTGATGACTGATTATTTATTTACTTGTCCATGCACTCTGAGGAGGGGAAGGAGGGCCGGGCTTGAAGCCACCTGCCCGGCTTCTCCCCTTCTTTCCCAAAAAAGGGCAAGGTTCGTGGTGGCCGCGCGGCTAGGACTCCTCGCCCAGCGCTCTCCCTTTCCTGCCCTCCGACCAAAAAGAGGGGGGAGCCCTTTAAGCCTTGTGCCTGAGGGAGGGAGGGAGGGAGGCTCTTGCTCTGCCCTTTGCCCCCAGGAGGAGAAGGAGACCCTCCGGAGGCGCCTCCGGAGTCTCCTCCTTAAGCGGGGAGGCGGGGGCCCACAAACTGAGCCAGCCCCGTTCCCCTCCCTTCCTTCCTTTCCCCGCTCCCACCTTACCGTCCCGCGTCCCAACCTACCATTTTATTTCCAGCGGCGCTTTCCCCCAACTTCACTCGCCAGCGCCGCCGCCGCCGCTACGGCGTCCTTCTGCGCAGGCGCGGACCGGGCCGCCTTCACTTCACTGACTCCACTCCAATCTCCCCCCCCCCCTCCTTCTTCTCCTCCTCCTGTTTCCCTCACGACCCTCTCAACCGCCAGCCATGTCTTCACCCGGAAGTCCCCGCTGCCTCGTTCTTCTATTCCTCCTTCAACAGCAGCGGAGAAGGTCGTCTCTACGCCTCCCCCAATGCGGCTCCTACTCCGGCAGCTGAGGCTCTCGCTCTGAGGAAGGCGGCAGCAGCAAGGCCTGACATTGACAAGCGCGGCAGCGGGGGAGGAGGGGGAACTACGCTACCCACAATGCACCTCGTCACTAACGGACTGGAGCCACAGACTACTGCTGCTTTGAGGAGGAGCCACACTCGAGATGTCACTTCCGGGTTCTAAAGTCATTTATCATTATCACCTGCCATTTATCACTGAAAGGAACACCGGAACACCTCAGCAAGCGAGAGTCCAAAAGTGGCAGGCTCAAACCCAGAACCTCAACCAATGGCTGATACCAAATGAGAGACTCCCCCCTGGGCACACAGAGGACTGGGCGACTTGGAAGGCGCTGAACAGACTGCCCTCATGCAGCATGAGATGCAGAGCCAACCTTCAGAAATGGGGCTACAAAGTGGAATCCTCGACACGCGAGTGTGGAGAGGAGCAAACCACTGACCACCTGCTGCAATGCAACCTGAGCCCTGCCACATGCACAATGGAGGACCTTCTTGCAGCAACACCAGAGGTACTCCAAGTGGCCAGATACTGGTCAAAGGACATTTAATCAACTACCAAACTCACAATTCTGTATTTTGTCTGCTCTTTTTGCTTTGTTCTGTTAGAAATGTAATATAATCGACTGGTTGCACTGACACGATAAATAAATAAATAAATAATACTGAAAGGTGTTCCTTATTGTAAACCAGTGGTTCTTTACCAGTGGGTTCCCAAATGTTTTGCCTTTGACTCCCAGAAATCCTAACAGCTAGCTGGGATTTCTGGGAGTTGTAGGCCAAAACACTTGGAGACCCACAGGCTAAGGACTTTGTTGTGTTGTTCATTTGTTCAGTCGTTTCCGACTCTTCGTGACCTCATGGACCAGCCCACGCCAGAGCTCCCTGTCGGCCATCACCACCCCCTGCTCCTTCAAAGTCAATCCAGTCACTTCAAGGATGCCATCCATCCATCTTGCCCTGGGTCGGCCCCTCTTCCCTTTTCCTTTTATTTTCCCCAGCATCATTGTCTTCTCTAAGCTTTCCTTTCTTCTCACGATGTGGTCAAAGTACTTCATCTTGGCCTCTACTGTCCTTCTCTCCAATGAGCAGTTGGGCTTTATTTCCTGAAGTATGGACTGGCTGGATTTTCTCGCGGCCCAAATTTTTGTTGCCGGTGTGATGTCTCTACTCTTCACTATTTTATTGAGATCGGACATTGCTCTCCTCCCAGTAGGCTGAGAACTATCGGACTGATTTAATATTAGAGATAGACTCAAAATATTTAATATTACAGTCAAAATAATATTTAATATTACAGGCAGACTGCAGCCAGGAAATCAGAAGATGCTTACTTCTTAGGAGAGCAATGACCAATCTCGATAAAAGTAAGTAAAGAGTATCGATTAGTCCACTGACCATATCAACAGTAAAAGACAAAAAAAGAAAGAAAGAAAATACACGAATAGACACTAACCACTGTCCTAAAACTCCTGTAATAGTGAACGTACATTAAAGCACAGTTAAAACTAGATTAAGTTAAAAGTTAAAGATAATTTTAAAATATTATCATCATCAAAGTGCCAACTTCATACCACCTCCAATAAAAACATAATTGAGTGTGTGATCCCTACCGAAATGCATAGACCAACATCATGAAATGTATGATTGTGGACAAGACATTTTACATGACAAAGGGAACATCAACACTGGAGAAAATGCAGTTTGATACCACTTGCTCAATGCTATAAAATCATGGGAGTCTTATAAGGCCTTTTGCCTTCTCTGCCAAAGAGGGCTGGTGCCTCAAACTTCAAACCTCAGGATTTCATAGCATTGAAGTAGTGTTAAAGCTCCTTTATTGCGGAAACTTCTGCAATAGAATAGGGGATGTTCAGACGATGTTCTGGCTAGTCCCACATTAATTCGGCACAAACCAGGAAAACCCTGGTTTGTGCCAAATTAATTTATTAGTTGATTTATTCCGCGCCTTCTTGGAAGGCGCGCCTTAAATCCAGTACTTCCAGATCTGGACTGCAGAATACTATCTGGACTGCAGAATAGTAGTATAATATATTGGTAGAGTATTGAATATATTGTGGTATAATAATATAGTACAATATAATAATATATAAAAATATAATGATTGCATATTATATATTGCATATTATATATTGCATATTATATATTGCATTATAACCTTGCAGTATAGTGGTATAGTACAATATAGTAATATATAATGCTATTTATATTTATTTATCGTATCATCCGCAACCAGAACATTGTATTACATTTCTAACAGAACAAAACAAACAAACAGATAAAAAACCCCACAAATTTTGCAAACTTGGTAGCAGATTAAATGTCCTTTGACCAGTATCTGGTCACTTGGAGTGCCTCTGGTGTTGCCGCAAGAAGGTCCTCCATCGCGCATGTGCAGGGCTCAGGGTGCATTGCAGCAGGTGGTCAGTGGTTTGCTCTTCTCCACACTCGCATGTCGTGGATTCAACTTTGTAGCCCCATTTCTTAAGATTGGCTCTGCATCTCGTGGTGCCAGAGCGCAGTCTGTTCAGCGCCTTCCAAGTCGCCCAGTCTTCTGTTTGCCCAGGGGGGAGTCTCTCATCTGGTATCACCCACAGATTGAGGTTCTGGGTTTGAGCCTGCCACTTTTGAACTCTCGCTTGCTGAGGTGTTCCAGCGAGTGTCTCTGTAGATCTTAGAAAACTATTTCTTGATTTAAGTCGTTGACGTGCTGGCTGATACCCAAACAAGGGATGAGCTGGAGATGTCTCTGCCTTGGTCCTTTCACTATTGGCTGCAACTTCCCGGCGGATGTCAGGTGGTGCAATACCGGCTAAGCAGTGTAATTTCTCCAGTGGTGTAGGGCGCAGACACCCTGTGATAATGCGGCATGTCTCATTAAGAGCCACATCCACTGTTTTAGTGTGGTGAGATGTGTTCCACACTGGGCATGCATACTCAGCAGCAGAGTAGCATAGCGCAAGGGCAGATGTCTTCACTGTATCTGGTTGTGATCCCCAGGTTGTGCCAGTCAGCTTTCTTATGATATGATATTACATTATAATGTTATTAATATGATTTTATTAGCATAGCACAAAATTAGCATTATATAGCTATCATACGAAAGCTATATAATGCTAATTTTGTGCTATACTAATAAAATCATATTAATAACATTATAATGTAATACATTTTAAAACTAATAATACAATATATTATATAATAGTATTATAATATAGCCACACTAATATAGTAATATAATACTTCTGATAATATGTAATAATATATCATGGCATCCAGTTGCATTAGTGCATATTTGTATATCTCAAGTTGTAATGTTTTTGATTGTGAGCCGCTTTGGGTCTTCGTATGGAGAAACAAAGCAGAATATAAATAAATAAATGAGTCCTCCATAAGTAGACAATTGTCATTCTACACTTTCCTACATCTACGTCCGCTGCTGGAGGACGGAAAGGGAATTCGAGGTATCCCACAATGCACTGCACCGCAGGCCTCCCACTACATTTCCCCAAACAAACCCGGGAGCCAGCGAGCGAGAAGACTACACTTCCCACAAGGCCTTGAGGAGCGAAAGGGAAGTGGGACGCGATTGGGCCACCCCTCCACCATTCCCCGCCTCCCGCTCCCTGTGTGACAAGGACCGCCGAAGCCGTGGGACCTTCTGATCCTGGCCGGTGAGGTCATACCTCGGGTGATGCTTTATTCAAAAGGGGCGGGCCTTGGCTTCTGGTTGGGCGCTGAGCCAGCCGGCAGGAGCTGCTATTGGGTAGGAGCCAGGCGTCCGGGGTTCCTATTGGCTACCTGGCCGAAGGGAGGTGTGCCGAGGCTGAGGACGTGGCTCGGGGTTTTCCGGAAGGAAGGAAGGAAGGGAGGGCGGCGATTCCCTCCGTCTCCGCGGGACCTTCTGGCCAGGTGAGGGGGATGCGCGCGGGAGGGGTCTCTCTCAAGGCCGGCGCTTGTCTTTGTTACCAAGGTCTGGGTCAGGAATACAAGGTTCGAGGGGCCGGGCCGGTTTCCTTGGATAGCAGAAGAGGGATGCTGCAGCAGGAGACGGACAGCAAAAGCCCATCCCAGCAGCAACCAGGGCTGACCCTGCTTAGCCCCCAAGATCAGGCAGGACCTGGTGCCCTTGGCCCCTTATCACACTTGCACCAAATAATAGGAGACAACCAGGGCCCTTTTTATAGGGAACTAGCCATCCCCTGCCACGCGTTGCTGTGGCCAGTCTGGTGCTCTGGAAAATAAAGTAATGAGAAAGTGTTGGTTTCTAATATATGTAATGTCTTTATGCTTGTGGGTAAACAGTCTTTCTTGCTGTTTCTTTGTCAGTGTTGATGTGGAGATTGTCTGGTTTGCCTACTCTGGAACATGCAACATATCATTGTCCTTCTTTAGGGGTCCTTTTCAAATCTATACAGTATTCCCTCACTTATCGCGGGTGTTACATTCTAGGAACACCCATGAGAAGTGAAAACTCTTTGAAGTAGCAACGCTATATATGTGTTGGAGTTCAGCCTGTGATTGTGTTTCAAGATCAAGGTGCTTTAGATGTGGGGAATGATGTCAATGAGGTTCAATGGTTTGGTCAATGATATTGATGCAGAGAATGACATAGAGACACCGGTTCAAAGTGTAGTTTCCCATGAGAATGTTCCTACAGGGCATAGGGATGATGGTTTACTCCCTGAATTGCTCCCAGAGTTTTCAGGATTTGGGGCTTGAAAACAACTTGGCACCTGCAGAAACTAATGAGCGTATAGACAGGCAGGTGGAAATTAGCCAAAACAGACAGCTCGACCAAGGCCTTCGGCGATCTGCCAGGCTTTGACAGATAAGGATGAGAGGCATCCAGGGAAAACGAAACCAATTTCGGAATGCTTGGAATGGCTTAACCAGGGGTTATAAGGTCCAAACATGGGAAATATAGTCAGATGAAGCATCGTTTTGGAATCCTGCTAAGTTCTGCTTCTTTCCTCACGGAAGTTTCTTGTTCCATGGTTTGACTCTTGGTCTCTAGTGATTGTATACTCCTTTGGATTTTGTTAGAGAAGAGTGGACTTTGTTTTTGGACTTTGCTGAACCTTACCTTGGACTAATTTGTTCCTGCTTGTCTTCCCTACTTGGATTTACTAATTCCTTTAAAGTGTTTTTTTTTTACTTTGCTGCTTTTACTTATCTTCAATAAAAAGATTGTTTTTTCCTTACTCAACGTGTGGTGTTTTAAAATCAGAGGGCTATTCCTGTCCTGGAGTGCAACACTATGTATATCGCATTCCGAGGGTAAGGCAGAGGCAAGGAGAGATTAAAGGCACCGTACACCTTTTTTTTTTTTGTTAGCTATCTCTGCTTTACTTTGCAATCTCTCTTGATTGGCTGCCTCTCTCCCGAGTGGGAGAGTGAAACGCCCTTCCACACTCCATCGTTGCCAGGAGGCGGGATTAGAACACTATTCTGGGCAACGGCAACCATTCATAAACTGGGAGGCAAAACCCCGCGAAAAGCGGAAAGCGAACCGCAAAGTAGGGAGAGAACACTATCTGTCATATACATATATATGTGTGTATGTTAATCATATATATCTACCTATATCTATGGCTGGATGGCTCTTTGTCAGGAGGGCGCTGATTATGTTTTCTTGCCCTGGTGAAGGGAGTTGGACTGGATGGAATTTCTCAACTTGGGGCTTGAAACTCCTGGGAGGGGGGTCACGGGGGATGTCAAAAGGGTTGCAGAAGAATACCAGAAAACACAGTGTTTTCTGTTGGTCATGGGGGTTCCGTGTGGGAAGTTTGGCCCAATTGGTGGGGTTCAGAATTCTCTTTGATTGTATGTGAACTGCAAATCCCAGTCACTACAACTCCCAAATGTCAAGGTCTATTTGCCCCAAATTCTATCTGTGTTCATATTTGGGCATATCGAGTATTTGTGCCAAGTTTGATCTAGATCCTTCATTGTTTGAGTCCACAGTGCTCTCTGGATGTAGGTGAACTACAACTCCAAAACTCAAGGTCAATGCCCACCAAACCCTTCTAGTGTTTTCTGTTGGTCATGTGCATCCTGTGTGCCAAGTTTGGTTCAATTCCATTGTTGGTGGAGTTCAAAATGCTCTTTGATTGTAGGTTAACTATAAATCCCAACAACTACAACTCCCAATGACAAAATCAATTTTTAGTGATAATTACTCCTTGGGTTAGTAGGTGTCTTCTGGCGAAATTTGGCGGAAATTTGACTAGCGGATTTTGAGTTATGATGTCACTCAAAGTGAACAGAGCATTCAGATAGATAGATAGATAGATAGATAGATAGATAGATAGAGGTGCAACACTTTTAGATATATGAAAGCTTCCTAATCCAAGTCCCATCCTTTTAACACCCTTTTCCAGCAATGTTGTGTGCTCCCATATTTGCTAAATCTGTGGTGTTCTTTCTTTTTCTTCTTTGATGGGGGCCTTTTGAGTCTACCTGTAATATTAAATCAGTAGTTCTCAGCCTGTGGGTCTCCAGGTGTTTTGGCCTACAACTCCCAGAAATTCCAGCCAGTTTTCCAGTTGTTAGGATTTATGAGAGTTGAAGGCCAAAACATCTGGGGACCCACAGGTTGAGAAACACTGTATTAAATCAAGGCGGCCATAGCCCTAAGTAGGCAATACCTGAGCAGGGCTGTTGATAATAGGATGACTTGGCGGTTTCTCATGCATTTATGTGTGTGTGCCTTCAAGCTGTCTATTGACTTATGGTGGTTCTGTCATGAATTTTATAGGATAGATTTAAGCAAGGAAATGCCCGTTCCTTCTTCTGAAGTACTGTATATACTCAAGTATAAGCTGAGTTTTTCAACCCTATTTAGGCTGAAAATTTCCCCCTCAGCTTATACTCAAGTCAAAGTTATTTATTATTTTACTCTGTTGTTGTTGTTATTATTATTATTATTATTATTATTACATTTATTATTTTTTCTCTATTATTATTATTGCATTAATTATTTTACTCTATTTTATTATTATTATATTACATTATTTTACTCTATTATTTTTTATTACATTCATTATTTTACTCTATTATTATTGGAAGGATACGTAAGCACATTTATATTGAAGAAGTTTAGAATAATTATTTAATCAGAGTTAGACAGTCATAAATTGCCGTTTTATGTAAATATTCAAAAACATTTAATGTATTGATGCCTCAGTTAATGTAATTTTATTACTACCTATTTTTATTTTGAAATTTATTTTGAAAGTTAGCTGCTGCATTTCCCACCCTCAGCTTATACTCAAGTCAATACGTTTTCCCAGGTTTTTTGTAGTAAAATTAGGTGCCTCAGCTTATATTTGGGTTGGCTTATACTCAAGTATATACAGTACATCCCAGAGCACCTAGTACTTGTTGGTGGCCTCTTATCCAAGACTTTTGAGAAAGAATGACCTTTGAGATCATAACCTTTTGAAAAACCAGAATTGCCAAAACCTTTTGGAAGCGTGACCTTTTGGAGATTAATTGGCATTCACTACCATTTGGAAAATCATAGCCTTTTTGTAAAGTATGATCTTCCCGAAAAGAGCTAAAAACTTACTGAGTCAACCTTCTTTTTAGTGGTATATATCTACTTGTATTCATGCAAGGCAAATTAGGTTATTCAGTTGTCAGACTGATATACCTGGTTTATTTCTTTGAATTGTTAGGAAGAAAGATTATGCCAATGCCCAAAAATATATAGCAGATCTTCAGAATTCTTATTTCAGTTTCCCAAAAACATCTACTCTCCCATAAAATATGTTTGGTTTTAAATCAAATATATACTGTAAATACTGTAAATAAATACTGTAAATAAATAAATAATCATGATCTCAAGAGACAAAAATGAGTAGCTTCGTTAAAAAAGTTGGTTTACTTACAAACTTCATGTATTCAGTATACAGGTACATTGGGACTATAAGGGAATCAGATCTCTGGAGACCAGAGTTTGGTTCCCTGCTTGGCCATGAAAACCCACCTGGGAAATTTTTATAACTCACCCTGTTGTTTGAAAATGGCCATATACTCAAATGAAATGGGCGTATAAAAAACCTAAAGACCCAAATCCTATCTGTTTTTGGAAGCTGAGCAAGATCAACCTGGTTAGTCCTTCAGTGGAAGACTGCCAATGAATACTAGGTACTGTAGACTATTTTTCAGAGGAGGGACCTGGCAAAACCAGTTCTGCGTATTTTTTGACTAAAAACTGAATGGAATTCATGGGGTCACTATGGGTTGGCAGGCAACTTGAAGACACAAACACAGTATTCCTGATAATTATTATAAGAACAAAAGAAATTTAATATTGCTTGGCTAAAGAACATATTCTATCTTCCTAGAGTAAGATTTGGAAGAAAAGAATGTAGGTTAGGGGCTGATGATCCTGTTCAGCCATAGACAGTACCAGAACAAGTCAGATGATCCCTGAGAGGTTTAAATATGTGTTCCACTCCAAAATGAATTGGTGTGAGAAAAGTGTTTCAAATGGCTTGATAAATAAAGAGAATGAAGGGAGGGTGAGTAGTTTGAGCCAAAAAGGGGATGAAAGTGGAAGATGACCGTGTTGATTCATAACAGGTGGATTTATGGAGTAGAAACAAAAAATGATAGGAGATACGCAGTAAATCAGTTTGTGCACAAGGAATGGGAAAGTAAGAAGAACAGACATGGAGCTAATGGAAAAACTAAATGTATTTCATTTTGAACTCATACTTGTTTGATTCTGAAGAGAGAAATCATGCAGTAGTGAAGGGACAACACAGTAGGGGGATATATTCAAAATCTTGGAGCAGACAAACATTTTATGACAAGGGACCCTTGGGGTCTGAGACCAAGTATGCCAAAAAAAATGATCCACTTTTCTTTCCTCTTTCAGTGCTGGGAGATTAACTGTAAAGCCATGGTTTTCAACCTGTGGGCCCCAGGTGTTTTGGTCTATAGCTCCTAGAAATCCCAACCAGTTTACCAGCTGTTAGGAATTCTGGGAGTTGAAGACCAAAACATCTGGGGAGAACCACTGCTGTAAAGCTACATTTGTTGACATAAAAAGATAAACAGGGAAATAAGATATAAAATTCATGATGGACACATAGCCATACAATGTTAGATGGCAAACGATGAGAAGGACGCAGTATAAATTCAGGAATACCAGAGGCATGAAGTGGGAGAAAGAATAATTGAAAGTACACTGTAAGAGCAGAAGGCAAAACGGAATATGAAAAGAGCAGAAGCCATAAAGAGACAAATATAGGAGGAAAAACAGGTTTTGGGGAACAATATCCTATATCATTGGCAAAGAAGAGAGAAAGGACCATATGAGGAGGATGTTCAGTTCAGAAGCCTTCATATTTGTATGATCACTGCTAGGGGAGAAATCTCTTTGCTGATGCTATCCTAGCATTAGGCCTGATGAGAAGAATCTGGTGGCTAATTCAGGCATGGCTTCCTCGGACTATGCAAATGTTTTGGAAAATATGTTTAGACTTTTTATGTTAAAGTATCTGTACTGTAATATCAGTAAATAACCAGTTATTTTGCTTGTTTTGAAATACAGGGATTCAAGTTCATTCACTCCACATAAGAAGATCAGACAAACCTTTCAGCTATTTAAACTCACAGAAAAATAATTTGATATTATCCAGAAGAGAGAGACTTTGAATATTCTTGAGTGGATTTGATCTTCACAATTTGATAGATGCTGGGCAGTGCTATGCATTGGATGAAAAGCAGGCCCCAAAAGAAAGCAACCTTTCTAGTAACCAAGAATGTAAAGCTGAATAAAGAAGTGTTTACAATGTTTAACATATTTTGTTCTCATGCCTTCTGGAATTTGAATTCACATTGGGTTGCACGGTCCTGTAGTATACTATGGATAAGAGCTGCTTTTCATTAATTAGTGCCACCATTATATCTGGCATGCCAAACGCATAGGACAGAAAGTGAGAAATGATTTCTGGGTGCTTCCACGCAGTCGCTACTAGAAATTGGACAATGACAGCAACGCGATTTGTTGGCTTTTGGATGTTCATGTCACTACTTTGCTGCCAGATGACTGCCCCAGCAGAACAGGAGGATATAGTAAAACATGCAATAAAACTGCATCGTGGAAAAGGAGCTGCTATAACTCAAAGGAAACAGTGGCTAGTGGAAAACTGTAGAAAGCTGTCTGGACTCTTGCGTCAAAAGAATGTGGTCCTCAATAAATTAAAAAGTGCAATAAGAGCAGTGGAAAAGGACCCAGGGCTATCAGTCGAAGAAAGGACATTTCAGGTCCACACGTTTGAAATTTTCCAAAAAGAGCTCAATGAAAGTGAAAACTCTGTATTTCAAGCTATCCATGGACTCCAGCGGGCCTTACAAGGGGATTACAAAGATGTTGTGAACATGAAGGAGAGCAGTCGGCAGCGGCTGGAAGCCTTGAGAGAAGCAGCAATAAAGGTGAGTTTACGCCATCTGAAATTTCAGGCTCATATCAAATGGAAAGAACAGTTGCAACATAACACAAGACAAGGTACATCTAAATTAGAATGAATGAAGTTCGACATAGCTTAAGTTGCCATGGCTCAGTGCTACGGAATCATAGGAGCTGTAATAATCTTTAGCCTTCTCTGCCAAATGCTTCCAAACTACAGTTCCCATGGTTTTATAGCATTGAATCATGGCAGTTAAAGTGGGATCAACCTGCACTGATTCTACAGTGCAGATGCATCCATAGTGGACTGATTTTGACCATGTTGATATAGGAGTGAGATTGTTGTTATGAATCCACTGGATAAAGCAAGTAAACAAACTTGAGTAAAATAAAAAAATCAATTAATAAAAAGTGTCAGTTTGTGGGAGTAAGACTGGATCTATTTTCTCAAATCGAGTATGTGTAGATTGTCTTTTAAAAACTTTAAACGGTTGCTCTAGTTTCATTGAGGATCTTGTGGCTGAAAGGTGGTTCAAGAGTTATACAAACCACAGGAAGATGTTTTTTTAAAAAGCTCAGAGTTTTTGCTCTGCAGTTTTTTTTTTCATTTTTCAGTTTAAAACAACGATTCTTACAAATTAAAACAACTGGTCTTATGCTTTATTTGCTCTGAAAAGTATCTTAGAATTTTAACAAATCCTAATAGGAAGAAACGGAATATGTTGAACTTCTAGCAGCAGAGAAGCACCAAGCTGAAGCCCTGAAAAACATGCAGCATCAAAATAAGAGTCTATCTATCCTTGATGAGATTCTTGAAGATGTACGGAAAGCAGCTGATCGACTAGAAGAAGAAATAGGAGAGCATGCCTTTGATGACAACAAATCGGTACGTTTATCTCGATATTGCTACAATAACGATCTGATACAAAATAATAGTAGTTCAGAGTTATACAATTAATTTTATTACTTAGCCACTTTGAATCTACTTGTGGAGAGAAAAAGCAGTGTATAAAAACATAATAATAATAATAATAATAATAATAATAATAATAATAATGGAACGTAAAGTAATTATGGTTGTATTTGCTGAAGGAAAACAAGGGGAATATGAATACTTCAATCGCTTAGTGGAAAATAACTTTAAACAGCGGAATATGGTGGAATCCAAAAAAGAAAAAAATATATCCCCTAGTAGGGAGAAGAAATCCTTTTTTAAAAAATCTAAAAAGAAAACACAATAACACAGATGATTGTATATAGTTAATGCTTTCGCCATTAGAATTGCTTTTACCACTCAAGGGGCTATTGTACTTTCTGAATTTAGCCACTCTGCCTCCTTAAAATTGGTTCCTTCAGTTTGGGGGAGACTGAGAAGTTGGTAGCAGTTGGGGCATATGGGGCTGCAGAAGGGAGATGGGAATGATCAGTCCTGTGGTACAAGTGAAAGGCTGTTTATATGGTACTTTGCTGGAGGTAAATAAAAATAATGAGAAAGCTTTGCCTCCTTAACAGGTGAGAGGAGTCAATTTCGAAGCTGTTTTGAGAGTGGAAGAGGATGAAGCAGATACAAAAAGGAATGTTTCAAAAAGGAAAGTGGAGGATGATTTGGGCTTAAGCATGCTTATTGATTCGCAAAACAATCAGTACATACTTACTAAGCCTAGAGACTCAACCATTCCACGTGCTGACCACCATTTTATAAAGGTAAGTTCTTTTAAAATGGAGCCGATTTAGGTCAAGCTACCCCTTTATTCTGCCTTCGTCAGACCACACCTGTGTCCATTTTTGGGCACCTCAATTTAAGGGACATGTTGACAATGTGTCCAGAGAAGGGTGACTAAAATGATTAAGGGTCTGAAGAACAAGCCCTATGAGGAGCTGCTTACAGAACTGGGCATGTTTAGCCTGCAGAAGAGAAGCTGAGAGGAGACATAATAGCCATGTATAAATATGTGAGGGGAAGTCATAGGGAGGAGGGAGCAGGCTTGTTTTCCGCTGCCCTGGAGAATAGGACGTGGAGCAATGGCTTCAAACTACAGGAAAGGAGATTCCATCTGAACATTATGAAAAACTTCCTGACTATGAGAGCTGTTCAGCAGTGGAACTCTCTGCCCCAGAGTTGTGGAGGATCATTCCTTGGAAGCTTTTAAGCAGAGGCTGGATGGACATCTGTTTGGGGTGCTTTGAATGTGATTTCCTTGCTTCTTGGCTGAATAGGGTTGGACTGGATGGCCCACGAGGTCTTTTCTAATGCTATGATTCTATGAAATGGTGTCCTGAGGTAGAACAGAACATACTAAAAATGAATTTGTATGTTGTGATAAGATTAATTTTCTGCTAAGATTTTTAAAAAATCTTGAAAAAGGTCCTAAATCTTTATATTGATTTTTTTATAAAAAATCTTAATGTCAAGACATTACTCTACTGTAAATATGTAGTATATTAGAAGCTAGTAAATGATTCCACTTACAAGTACTGATGACATTTATCACTAGAGATCTAACGTTGAGTATGGAAACATAGATTTTACGTTTGAAGAGAGTATTATCCAACTAGTACAATAGCTATTGTGGTGAACTGTATAGTTTTATTTCTTAGTATTTTAATGATGCTTGTAGGCCTTTGAGCAGTATTTTTTTAGCATAAAGGCAAGGTAAATAACTTTAAAAAGAGAAAATAATATAATGTTAGGTTACTGTATGTCAATGATTTCCCCCTAGTTCCAATATTATTTGAGAGCCAGTATGGTACAGTAGGTTGAGTGTTGTATTATGACTCTGGAAAGTAAGATTTTAATCCTGCTCAGCTATGGAAACCCACTGGTTGAACTTGGGCAAGTTACACTCCTTCAACCTCACAGGAAGGCAAAAGCAAACCCTATCCTAACAAATCTTGACAAGAAAAACCCATGATAGGGTCATTATGAGCCAGAAATTACTTGAAAGCACACAGCAATATCACCCAATGTTGTTCAGTGACATAGAAATAGGAAGCAGGAATGTCTTCAGTTAAGAGCAAAATTCATGTGTGATGGTGAGGTTGGAACTTGATCTGGTCTCATTTGACTATAAATCCCATTTTACTTAAAGATTATTTCTCTTGAAGAAAAAGGGAAAGGAAAGAGGGTGTATGGTTGTTGTGTTCAGGCATTGAAAGTTTGTAATTTTTTTGTTTGGAATCTGCCCTGAGTCCCTCTGGAGAGATCGGGCAGACTATAAATAAGGCATCATCATTATCATAATCATCATTAATGTTTTTTTTTAATTTTATTCATTAGGATATTGTGACCATAGGAATGCTATCCTTGCCTTGTGGCTGGCTGTGCACAACAATAGGATTACCAACTATGTTTGGATACATTATTTGTGGAGTGCTTTTGGGACCATCAGGATTAAACAGTATCAAGGTAGGAATATATTTTAGGATAATACACAATCAGTGTGTTTGTGTGTCTGTTTGAGGTGTTTGTTCACTATTGGGAAACTTAAGATATATGTAAACTACTGGCAAGTAAAGAAGATAATATTGGAGTTTTGCACCATTTTCTACTTTAGGTAAAACATTTATCATATTTCCACACTGTCAAATTATTTTGGGTAACAGGGATTAGAGTACACTTCAGCAACAAACTTGGGATCTTGGTTTTTAGGCCTGTTCCTGGGGTTATTTGGGGGCTGCTTCAGAATATTGCATTGGATAGACTGCATCAGCTCTAATTTCTTAGATATGGTTATCGTGATTTTCTGTTCGCGAGCAGATGAAAACTGGTATATGGCATATGACCTGTATTTCAAAAACAGGGGTGCCATTTTGGAATCAGCAGACCAAATATACCCAGAAACAGTTCTAATATTTGAGGCACCAAATGTGTGTTCACCAGTTATTCGTTTTACTTAACTGTGAAATAAAGAGATTGGAATATCATTGAAAAGTTAAACCAGAAAAAGAAAAACTATTTGCAAATTACAATTCATTTATTAATACTTGCTGCAGTCTAAAAGTCATTAGAACCCAGTATATAGGCAGCGCTCTGCATTAACAAGATATTCAGATCAGCACATACAATATCATAGGTTTTTAGGCCCTGTTCATAGGTTTTTAGGCCCTGTAAATTTTCTTATTTATAACTTTTCCATATACCTTTCTTCCCTGAAAATCATTTTGCACTGTTTCTTTTCTTGTTTATTGTCTCAAGCCCAAGATTATCCTGCTTGGGAAATATTTTCCCTCTTGTTGACATTTTTGGTTATTCCTTTTATTGTAACTCTTGCATTCTTCCCTCTGTAATATGTTGGCTTGTTCCACATATGCTTGTATGAGTCTTTAGAAATTATCACTATGTTAAAATCTTGGAACCTTTGAAAACAATATGTAAACAAATATACACAAGATGATCTGGGGAATTTAAAAAAAGTGTTACAACAAGACTGCATCACATTGAATAAACTTGTGTTTTTCAGTCAATTGTCCAGGTAGAGACATTGGGAGAATTTGGCGTATTCTTCACATTGTTCTTGGTGGGTTTGGAATTTTCTCCTGAACGGCTAAGAAAGGTATTGTTTCACAAACATCATATGAACATGCATTGCAACATCTGAAGGCAGCTAGTCAGGGTGAATATAATATGGAACCCTTTAACAGAAAATATGAAAATAGACTATTTGGGTTCCAATGTTACTTTCTATTATCAGGGAGCCTTTTATTCATGGGAGGGTTGTGATCAAGGGGAGACTCCTGCTGGAAGAAGAGCAATATTTGCCAGCCTTGCCTTCTCCCTCCCCAAGGTAGAAGGAGAACTGGGAGATGTATATGTTTCTGTGATTCTATGAAGTCTTTCCTTATTCAGAGGAACTTCCTGTTAGCATAATTCCACCTATAGAAAGAATAGTACTAATTGTTGGGGGACAGAGCTTTTAATTTCAGAGAAGTATTAACTGTGTTAATATTTGGCATGCCATTGATATCTCTGAGGAATTTATAAGAGGCAAGTATAGCATTGCTATAATTTTGATGTTTAAGAATCCTAGCTTTGTATCCAAATATGTTTTTTCAATCAGATAAAAGTGTCTATTCCTCTATAAACAGCTTCAAAGAAATTAGTATCTTTACACTACTTGATTCTAAGTTAGTGCAAAAACAGAATGCTTATATGGTTAGGCGGACTGGAAAGACAAATTAAGTGCTTATTCTGTGCATGGTTATTTGCTGTTCAACTTACCATATGTACTCGTGTATAAGTCAACCTCATCTATAAGTTAAGGGTAGATATCGAGGCCAAAGTGAGGGATTTTACTATGACCCATGGTACAATCAGGGGTGAAACTTAGGACACATTTAAAACTTACACAATCAAGAGTGGGTATTTGGGGGAGGGGAATAAGTGTCATTATGGTGACCCTGGCCATTGCTGCTGAAGTATCTGTGGGCATCCTAAGCAAATAGTGTTCATGAAAAAGGCTAATTTCCTTCCTTCCTTCACCTGTTTCAACCCAAGTGTTGTTCAGCAGCCACTGTGTGTGGGAGCCTATACAGGTTTATACAGTATGCCCCTATGAAAAATGGCCATTATGCTTCAAAAAGCATATAAAGTAAACACCAATTAAAATGGCTGCCACCTCAAAATGGTCAGTGAGCTGGTGTCATCAGCATCATCTATTTCCAGACCAATTTAGTTTTTTTTATGTATACACAAATATCCATATATTCAGTGTTTAAGTAATCCTGAGAATGTTTATGTTCCACACTTGTGAGTTTTCAAGTAGCATATTGTGAAAATAACCAGAGCTTTCCTGACACTTTATGTTGATGACACACTTTGTATACATTCATCATTTTGCATCACAATAATTCAGTTTTACTAGTACAGTGGAGGTTAAACCAACCCCTTATAAGAGATACAGGCACATACATAAATTATATAACGGAATCTATGGGAATGCAACATATCTCATGAAAACTTTTCTTTTTAAAAAATATATGATTTGTAAGATATTAACAGACATTTCCACAATTATTGTCATGTCTTGTTACGTTTGTTTGACACACCTACACACTGCAGTTTACACACTACTGTGTGGTGGCAAACTAATCGGAAAGCTCTGATTTAAGTATTTCTGCTATCCAATATTTCTAAAGGCTGGGTATTGACATTGCAAAATGATGTTAGAGAATTCTTAGTGCCTTGTACATTTTGAGAGTTTTAATTGCATTAAACACTAATGTGAAATTGGAAGCAATATTTTAAGATCTTTAAACTATTAATCCAATGTAAGTCAATATTATTTTTGCAGGTGTGGAAGATATCACTGCAAGGCCCCTGTTACATGACACTTCTGATGATTGCCTTTGGCTTATTGTGGGGGCACTTTCTACAAATTAGAGCCACACAGAGTGTGTTCATTGCTACTTGTTTATCATTGTCAAGCACACCATTGGTATCCAGATTCCTTGCAGGGAGCTCTCGGGGAGATAAAGAAGGTAGGTGTCATTTAACTACTAGATTAGAGCATGGTATGGAGCCTCCAGTGGCACAATGGGTTAAACCCTTGTGCTGGCAGGACCAAAGACCTACAGGTCAGAGGTTCGAATCGGAGAGGAGTGAGGATGAGCTCCCTCTGTCAGTTCCAGCTCTCTATGCAAGGACATGAGAAAAGCCTTCCACAAGGATGATAAAACATCAAACATCCAGGCGTCCCCTGAACAACGTCCTTGCAGACGGCCAATTCTCTCACACCAGAAGTGACTTGCAGTTTCTCAAGTCACTCCTGACATGAAAACAAATGGTATGGTATGGAACTCACTGGATGATCTTAGGCAAGTTACTCTCTCTCAGCTTAAGAAGGTAAAGGTTAATCTCTTCTGAGAAAAATCTTGTCAACAATGTCCTAAGATAGAATCAGGCATAGTCAGAGTTGACATGAAGATAAAAACAACAACAGAAAGAAATTTATAAAACTGAATCTGTCCTGAGAGTCTGCTATGTCCTTTTGTAAAACAAACATCTTAGTATCCTGGGAAAGGAACCCAGGTGAAGGCCTAGGAAGTGGGTTTGAATATTACATTCAGTATGACTCATGCATCTTAAAACTTGGGTGTGCACATATGAATCTTGAGCAAATAAAATGGAAACCAGACTCTAAAGACTGTGCTGGAATGTGGAGGCCAAAATGGCCACCTTTTAAAATGACATTAAATCTGAAATTGAAGTTTTGGTACAATCAAGTGGTTCATCAGTATGATTCAGAACTTTAGACACATTTCCTTGGATGCAAATTATATTTATTGTCTTGCACTTCTACCTGCTTGTGTATAGGCAAAATAGATCTATAATAAATAGACGATTATCTGAATTTGGCAAGTGGCAATCCTGCTTTGTAAATTAGTTGTAATACTATTATAGTTTTTGTGCATATTTGTATGTGCTTTTTGTCAAACAGGAGACATAGATTACAGCAGTGTTCTGCTAGCAATGTTGGTGATGCAGGATGTTCAGCTTGGCTTGTTTATAGCAGTCATGCCAACTCTTATCCAAGCTGGAGTTGGCACACATGCCAGGTAACAAAGTTCACCTGTGTGCTTCTGCTTAATACATTTGTCTCCTTTTCTTCCCCCATGGATCTCAGGGCAAAATAGATTATGTGCTTTATTTTGCTTCTTGCTTTACAGTTTTAAAAAGTGTTTGTATTTAACTTGATGTGTTTAATCTCACATCTCTTTATGGTAAATCCATACAGTTTATGTTGGCAGTGTTTCAGAAGAATGGTTGAATTAGCCCTGTGAGTGCACTGGAGTTGTTTGGCCAATTTCATTTTTGGCAGTTTCTTTTTCTTCCATCTCCAAATTGATCTTTAAACTGTTCTGACTTTGATATGGATTTGCTAAAGAGGGATTGACTGGTAAACTGGTACACACACAGGACATTGTACTGGATCATACCTGGTTATCTTTATGACAAAATTTAAATACTGTACCTCAAAATGAAAATTACATTATAAGTTTTGCTCTAATCAGAAAATATTTCAGATATTTAGGTTGCTACAACTTCTTCAGTTGTGCCTTGTCCTTTTTAAAAGTATGAAGTACAGTGATCTATATGTGTTCCGTTTTGTGCATTATCCTTCTTTATTCGAATGTAAGAAATTATAAATAAAATACAAATGCATTATTTTTATATAAGAAAATATTTTTAAATTATAGATGAATAATTTAGAATTATGTTTCTAAAACTGTCTCCCATTTCACCCATTTCTAGCATTATCAAGGAAATACTAAGAATATTGTTGCTGATCGGACAAATTCTGTTTTCTTTGGCTGCTGCTCTGCTCATATGTCTTGTTTTAAAGACTTACCTAATAGGACCGTACTACCGCAAGTTACATATGGAAAGCAAAGGAAATAAAGAAATTCTAGTTCTAGGAATATCTGCTTTTATGTTTTTTATGCTAATGGTAATTCTTTCAAATACTTATATTTATTGGCATGTATCATATATAGAAATATATTATTTTTGAAGACTCATAATAGCAGAAGGTAGACTTCAGTTATAGAAAGAGGTTGTATTTATAGGTGAAAAGTAAACCAGACTCTTGTTATCAGATATACTGGTTGCTGATACTGGTTGTTAACCGCTCTGAGTCGCCTGATGGCTGAAAAGAGCGGTATACAAGTAAAGTAAATAAATAAATAAATAAATTAACACATCTAATTTAATACTAATAGTGTGTATAAATATGTTTAAATAAATATTCACCATTTAAAAATAGAATCCCTGCTGGGGGAAGAACTTACTGCTTTCAGATGTTAAAATTTAATTTCCTCACCTTTGACAGCTGTTCCCATTAAATTTCTGCGGTGAGGAACTGGCATGTATTAGAAAATTTGACATCTGACCTAGTATCTTATGATATACCCAAAGAATCTGAAGTTTTCAGATCATCATTCAGTTTTACTTCCTTTGGGGAAGTCCAGATATTTCTGATATTTGTTTAGCTGAGCATTTTCCAAAACTTAAAGAGATAATGTCATTATATAGTTCAGTCAGTAGGCAGTCGTGAATATATACCTATTATAAGAATGTAGCCAGTTAATAAAGCCTCTAACTAACTAACCCCCCCCCCCCTTTATTTCTTCCATTTCCTCCTTGTAACGGAAAGGTTTTTAAACAGGATTTGGAGGGTGGAAAAGGAGTATTGCAGAAACACAGACTTTCACCTGCTGGGATACATAGCATATCTGTAGGAAACAGTGAAATAGTATTTGAGCAGGGAAAGAATAACACTCTCCTTTGTTGATCTGAGCTGAATGTGCTTGCCTAGAAAGACAAAGTAAATGCTATCATCTTTCAATTTTTGCAGGGGTTAGAGGAGGCATGGTCAAAACTTTGTGGTCCCCCCCCCCCAAGTGTTTTGGACTTCAACTCCCACAGGCATTGTGGGAGTTGAATGATATGTGTTTCACAGTAGCAGTAGAAGCCAAGGAAGTATAAAAACCCTACAAATCAATTCATAAGAAGTATTTTTAAAATCATAAATATTTGTTTGATATGTATACATTGTTATTTTTGACACTTTAATGATAAAAGTTTTCATGAATGATATACTATTATTTTATACTAAGAATACATGTTAGTGTATTATATATATACTGATATATAATTTGAGGTAAGGTAGTAAAGAAAGCTAATTATCGTAAAGAAACTACTGTAGTAATACTTCTTTTTTCCACTTCACAGATCACTGAATTATTGGACGTTTCAATGGAATTGGGGTGTTTCTTAGCAGGCGCACTCATTTCTTCTCAAGGCCCTGTGATTACTGAAGAAATTATGTCCTGTATTGAACCAATACGTGACTTTCTTGCCATCATATTCTTTGCATCTATAGGTAACTTGTTACAAAAGCACATATACACAAAGTTTAATTGTGTCAGTTTAACAGAAGAAACTGAACACAATTTGTGTAAAAATGAGTAGCGCTTGACCAGGAGGACCTCTGTCTCGTTTGGATTAAGTTTTAGTTTGTTAGCCCTTATCCAGTCCATCACAGCAGCCAGGCACTTAACCAGGATCTGGGGAGCTTCCTTGGAATTTGATGGAAAAGAGTACCTTTTTTAGTACCTTTAAAGTCATCATATTCCAAGAAACCTTGTAGATCAAGGTTTAGATTCCTGAATACCTTTTTTCAGATTTCCTGTTATTGGGGCCTAAACCAGGGGAGGGAGTGAGGCTGTTGTGGGGAGACCAATCCCTGGGGCTGTTTACCTCATGAGAGCCACCACAGCCCTGTTTTCCTGCCATGTTAGCATTTAATAGGAGGAGGAACAGGGCAAATGGTGCAGTAGTGATGAAAGATAAGGTGTTGGGGTTGGTAGCAAGCCTAGCTCATATTTTGAATGCTTCTGATGCAAAGGAAGGGAGATGGAGAACACAGCCCATGTTGGAAATGGTTTGTGTTGTTACTATTTTAAGCTCATATAGCTCTAGTAATCTGACAAAACATTGTATGCTTTTATTTAACCAGTGAGATGAAAGATGTCTGTTATTGTTTCATTAATCTGTTCTTATGTGTTATCACATTTAGAAAAAGGTTCTAATAAAGGTAAAACAATTGTTTTGGCTATTTTTTTCTTCCTTGCAGGCCTTCATGTTTTTCCTACATTTGTTATATATGAAATCACAGTCTTGCTGTTCCTTACGCTTTCAGTGGTAATAATGAAGGTACCTTCATTTTATTATTTTATATTTGTATTAGATTTTAGATTGCCTAAACTGCATGTATACTGACGAATCAATGCAGTTTGACAGCACTTTAACTGTTGTGGCTCAATGCTACAGAATCCTAGGAATTGTAGCTTTATAAGATATTCAGCCTTTTCTGGTAGAAAGTTGCTATGAGTCTCAGGATTCCATAGCGTTGAGCCATGGCAGTTAAAGTGGGGCCAAACTGCACCTATTCTATAGTATGTACATATATCCCTAGATTGCTCCATTGGAATGAGGCTACCTGAAACACCAAGCTCTATAGACCACAACTGTCTAAATATCACTAGTACTGTGGTTTTATAAAGAAAGAATAACCTTTCTTGATTTTTCTTTGTGTCCCTTTCAGAAACACATAATAAGTAGGGATCTTTTTCAATACAGTTCTATAACTATTGTGTTTGTGTACCTAGTTTTTAAATTAAGTGCTGTATGGCTTAAAGATGCCTGTGGGGACCAAAAAGGAAGATTTTATTTTCAGAGAAGGAGGTTTTATTTCTACTCTGATAATGCAGTTTGCTGAATGTACAGTAACACCAAATATGAATTTAGGAATTGTTATTAAATGTATTATTTTCGTCTCTAGTGGTGGTATGAAACTCTAGATTGGCTTTAATAGACAAAGAAAGGTTATCTTGTTCCACTAGAAATTCTTTTAAAAGTTGATAAATTGCTGCTTAAATTTCTGCACTTTTTAATCAGACCATCATTTTTTAGTCTTGTAAGCATTTTAAATAAAAAATGTGTATTTCTTAAGATGGCAGAGGCTTGTAACTTTAGGCAAATGGAGTCTCCCTTGTGCAGGAGCAGGAAACTGTTCCATCTACCCAATTGTAACATTTGCTTTGAACTTTCCTGAAAAATCTAGTACAATTAATGGTGAGAGATGTGGCCACGTTTCCCATCCCTATTTCACTGCTTTCTACTGTATTTTAAAAAAGAGTTCAATTTGTTCTGATGTGCTTTTTAAAAAACCATCTTTCTCAAAGTTTTTCCTGGCAGTGCTTGTCCTTTCCATGATTCTTCCAAAGAGCAGCCAGTATATCAAATGGATTGTATCAGCAGGATTGGCTCAAGTCAGTGAGTTTTCTTTTGTTCTGGGAAGCAGAGCACGCAGAGCGGGTATAATTTCTCGAGAGGTGAGCTGAAGCCTGTAATAAAACACTGTTGTATAATGGTTAATTATGGGCTACTGCCTTTGCCCATCCCTAGTATTCCCCCACTCCTGGGTTCAACACTGAATGCCTCACTCGGGTGACCACCTGTCAGCGCAAGAAGGCAAGTTCAAACATGGGGTAGAGCCTTCTAAGTATTCCTCCTCTAGTTTCACTGAACATCTTCCAAGTCCCACTATTTCAGGTTTTTGGCTATTCAGAAATGTTGGTGAGTGACAGTGGGTATATAGGCAGTCCTCAGGTTATGAACAAGATAGACCCTGTAGATTTGTTCTTAAGTTGAATTTGTATGTAAGTCAGACAGGTATATTTTTTAAGTATAAGTCCAGACGTGTGTGTGTGTAGCTTTGGATGGCATAGATAAAGATTAAAAGTCCTATAACATTTGTTTTGCTGTCTGTGCCCCTGTTCAGAAGTTTTCACCTCACTTTCTGTCCCTGTGACAATTGAACTTTGACAATTTTGGGTTTTTGTGGAAACAAGGATTGGTGATAAAGCTTCAGTGGAGACACTTTTTCCCCATGATAACTCTCACAGAAGTGAATTTCCCTTCCTAGCAATATATTTTTTTCTCACTTCTAGTTGTCTCAGGGACCGGAAGTTAAATTAAATCTTCCTGATGTGGATACACACAGAAGTAAAAAATCTTACATTGGCTCTAACTCGCACACCATACTAACCAAAACTTTAAAAAATAAAATTTGCATGGTGTTCTACTTTAAATGCAACTTGGACAGATGTTTGTCTCAACATAATATTTATTTTTACCTGTGCATGTAAATGCTTAAACATTTTCAAATACTGCAAAAAACCTAGAGCTCCCGGACCCACCTACCGGCACCACCACCCACATTTGTAACTGGGAGTCATATGTAAGGCGGATGTTAGTAATTCGGGGATGTATTATATTATTTTGTATCATATTTTGTATTATAATGTATTATATTATTTTTATATTTTGCTTTTGTGGTTTGCCATTTTGCAATCTGGCTTGGAAGAATTTATCCCAAAAGATGGCTGAACAGTCTTGTGATACTTTGTATTGTCGAAGGCTTTCATGACCGGTTGGGGATGATTTGACTGTGCATTGTATTGTCAAAGGCTTTCATGGCTGGAATCACTGGGTTGTTGTAGGTTTTTTCGGGCTATATGGCCATGTTCTAGAGGCATTCTCTCCTGATGTTTCGCCTGCATCTATGGCAAGAATCCTCAGAGGTTGCCATAGATGCAGGCGAAACGTCAGGAAAGAATGCCTCTAGAACATGGCCATATAGCCCGAAAAAAAAACAACAACCTTGTGATACTTTCTTTTTTACACTAAAACATTTGGAGGCAAAAGATTTCAGTGGATGGGAGGGAAAGGCTAGTTTTATTTATTAGTCTTGTCCAGTTGTACAGAATCACTATCCTTTCCGGTTTATTTTCTTCGTAAGGCCCCATTTTCATTTTCGAGCACCTCTCCTGAAAACGGACGCCTTTGTCCAAGGTCTGAAAAAAATGAATATTTTTAGCCCTTTGGTGGCAAAGCACCAGTGCCTGTCAGGGTCTACATCCGAACATGCCGAGCACTGAAGAAGAGGCACTCAGCACTTGGTGCTCGGCTGCAGGGCCTGCCAGAGCCTACATCTAAGCATGTTGAATACTGAACGCTGAATAAGAGGCACTCAGCGCTTGGCTATAGCCCTGCCAAGGCCTACATCCAAGTACCGAGTAAGAGGGCCTCCCAAGACCCACAGCTGAGTGCCAAAAATTGGCTGACCAAATGGTTACCGTTCCCACTTTTCTTTAGTTTCACTGATATTTCCGTGCGCGGGTGTGTGTGTGTAACATTTCGTGCATTCCGAATGAACAGAACAATATGAAAACACAAATTAAACGGATGAGATGGTAACCTAGCCCATTACTATTATTTATATATCTCCAGCAGGATTTTTCATTGCAAGTAATTGTACTGTTTTTCTTTCCCAGTGAGGGAAATTCTTAGGCAGGACTGTTAAAGTGTATCCAGGACTGTTAAAGTGATATCAAATGCTAAAATTGTGTGATGTGAAAGAGACTTTACATATTGTCATGCCATAACTTAATATTAGAAACATTAGATTGGGAAACCAAGGAACAGCTAGAAAGTTGATAATGGTGTTACTTGTTTTTGACCTATCATTATAGCACTATGGCTCTTACTTGTATTGATTTATTTCCAAAACTAAACATTACTGTTAATTCTGAAAAGAAGCAATGCAATGAGCAAGGGGAGGAAAAGTTTGTAGTCTCTGTGCATGTCTCATTTAGCATTCATGCTTTTTAAAGCATTACTCCATTATTCCAACTCACAAAAAGCCACCCATAATAATTAAGTGGCCAAAGCCACAAACTGTCCAAGTCTTAAGTGTTTTCAGAACTGGCTTAAAATCATCATAAGTGTTTTGTATTCAAAAGGTAAAAGACTATGTTTGCGTCTTCTCTAAGATCCTGGAATTACCCCCTGGTTAAAGCTGAAAACAATGGATAAAAGAAATGCTTTGACCTCTAAATACATATATACAGGTTGAGGCAGCATAACTTCCTTTTTCAAAACTTAATAAAACCCATTGTATGAATCAGAATTTTTTATTTTTTTTATAATGTAGGCACATACCTAAAGTTTTGTTTTACGTACTTTGGAAGATCAAATTAGGTAGATGACGTCCCCCATTCTCCATACACTGAGTATACCGATTTCTGGCATTTGTCATGACTCTTACCAGCATAGCAGGTGTTATGTTGGCAATTTCTTCCTGGATGTTGGTCTTCAAATCTTATAGGGTCCTTGAATGGTTCATATAAACACGGGATTTCAAAAAACCTAATAGAAAAATATCACAAGGGGCCAAATCTGGAGAGTGGGCCAGCCACTCCAAATCCGCTCAAAAAGTAGGCCTCAACGGCAAAAGCATGCTCCTCACTGTTCCAACGCATGATGACAACTGAACTGTGTCAGGACAAAACTGTATACTCCTGCCTCTCAAACGAGACCACTAGCGCTCCGCTACGTCTTCAACCAACTGAATTTTTAAAAAGGAAGTTATGCTGCCTCACCCTGTAGTTTCTTTTTTAAATTAAAAATAAGAGTACCAGAAAGTGCAGTACAGTCAACCCTCCACATTTGCGGTTTTGTTTTACGGATTTTATTCACAAACCTAGGTATCTCTAGGTCTTCCAGAGTGACTCTGTGTTCAACTTCTGCTATTGAGTTGTACTGGAGAATCTAGAGATTTATATAGATAGCACTGCTCTAGACTTTGTAAAGTCATCTAGAGTGATTCTATGGTCACGTTCTGGCAGAATTTTTTAAATTAATTTTTATTTTAGTTGATACATCCCCTCAATTAAACTTTTACCATACAAATCTTATCTCGATATACATTATTTAAAAAGTAAACTTACCATATATTACAGTTTATGCATTCCTGAGATGTGTATCTCCCACTACCCATACCATCCCACCCATTTCCCCCCTCCCTCCTGGAACAGCAATTCTAAATGATGTCATTGCATCGATTTACCCATGTGGAAAGCCTGGTTCAAAATGCTATATCTATCATCTCTATTTTGTAGGTTAGATTAGACCATTTCCTGCACTAGTCTTGTTTTGTATGACAATTTATATACTGTTTTTTCCCTTTGATTAATGAAATCATTGATTACATATTCCAATAGATAAGCCCATCAAATTTCTAAATCCCATCTTGTATTGTCTCTCCATCCTTGGGCTATCGTACCCGGTATTGCGGCTGTCATATATTTTAGGATTTCTGTCCAATTATTGTTATCTTCCTTTGCTTCTATAGTGAGAGACATGAATCTGGCTTTATCCCACCCTAATTCTTTCCCTATTATTTCTTCCGTTACAGTTCTTATTTTACTATAATACTTCCAAATTATTCTACAATCCCACCACATGTGGGAGAAATTGGTCATAGAGCTGCACTGAAAAACCCAGAGATTCTAGAGAAGTAAAAAATTCTTTCTTGGTTTTTTCACCCATACTTTTTTTGACTTTTGTACACATCCTGGGCCCTTAACCTTAGAAAATGTGGAGGGCTTACTGTAGAGTGGTTCAATTATGCCCATATTATGCTATATGCAACTTCCGGGCTATTGGTGGAAGCAATTATCAGCACAAACTATTTCATCTTCATGTGGTATGAACAGGCTATCCCCCTCTGTGTGTGTATGTTGTCTCAGATAATCCCCTTGATCATTTTCATATTGTTCTTCAGGGAACAAATTGAAATGAATATCTTACTTCCCAATTCATAGGTGTACCTCCTTATCCTGAGCGTGACGACTCTAAGCCTGTTACTTGCACCAGCCCTCTGGAGAGCTGCGCTTATGAAATGTGTACCAAGATCTGAAAAAAGATTAATTTCTTGAAGATATTTAGTACAACTCTATCCATGAAACAAACAGCTTTATATTCATTTCATTTCTTTGGCAGCAAATGAAAAATATGGTTATGTTCTTTGGCTCAGATGTCTTAACGTTTATTTCAGTTCATGAAACTCTTTTTCACAAGCAATGAACATTCTAATTTTTAGAGGATGGAAGGATAAAATTTGTGTTAAACTCATTTTGTAAAACCTGATTTTTAGAAAATGTCTAAAAATTCAGTAATGGACTAATGTGCCTTTTTAATTATTATTTTCAGCAGTTGCAGAAGGTTTTATTAACATATATGGTGCCCATGGTACTGTTTAAAGAATTATATAAGTTGGTACATCCAAGTTTAACATCAGCATAGAAACGTTTTTAGTGCTGTGTAAACTTGAGTTTTTCCATTCCAATATAAGGTTGGAGACTGTTTTGGCTACGTCCTGAAAATGATTTTTTCTAAGTGATATTTGCTCTACTTGATACATCTCAAATAATTGTAATTATTTGTAACTTAAATGTCTCTGATCATATTTGTGTTTTGACAAATAAGTTCATTGTGATCAAAATGATTTTTCAGTACAAATATAAAAAAATTACTTGTTTGGATCATGCTAATTGTTCAAAACCAAAATACCTTAGCATTAAAAATATTTTGGAGGATTGATTTAGCTTTGTGTCATTTCACTGGATAACTCAGTTGCCATGTATCTAAGAAGGAACAACTTGAAACTTTTTATTTTTTAAAAAAACTTTGTAACTTGGAATTTACAATAATTTTAGATAGATATTACAGTTTCCATGTAAGTTCTTAAAGCTAGACAGTCCTAGAGATGGCAGTGCCCTTTTCTGCTATATTGCCCTATTTGTTTCAAATACTTAAGATATGCATGTTTCAAAATCTTATAGGGTAATATTGTGTGTGTGTGTGTGTGTGTGCCTTTAAGGCACCCCAAGGCATATAATAATAATAATTTATTTATTTATTTATTTATACCTCGCCACCATCTCCCCAAAGGGACTCGGAGTGGCTTACATGAGGCCAAGCCCAACAACACATCAGTAAAAACAACAAAGCAACAAGCAAATAAAACAATACAATTAATATAACTTTTATCATGGGCTTTCTTGGACAGATTTGATCAGGTTTGATGTAGCCTTCTTCTGAGATTGAGAAAGTGTTACTTGTTCAAGTGGGTTTTCATGACTAACCAAATATCCCAGCCTTGATATCCCAGACTGCTAGTCCAGCATTCAAATCACTATACCATGCTGGCTCAGTGTTTAGTATTGTACAGTATTTTTTTTTTTTGAGATAAGGGCATTGGTTATTCCAGTTTTCTCAATTTATCAAGGAGTCATAACTGAGCGTTATAGTATTAACAATGGAACATTTTGTAACTGGTATTAATTTCAAATTTCAACTGAGTAGGTACCTAGCACAATTTAAAATTAATGCCAGCTACTGAACAATGCTGTATTCATTGTGAAGTAGTGTTTAAAATGGCCCCAAAAGGCACCAGGTCCTCTCTGATCATGGATCCTAAGCAGGGCCAGCCCTAGTTGGTACTTGGATGGGAGACCACCAACAAATACCAGACACTGAAGGTTATATATTTAAGAGGAACAAGATGGCAAAACCACCTCTGACTATCTCCTACCCAAAACTGCCCCCAGTCATGTAGCCGGGGGGGGGGGGCTTGAGGGGCTTCAGCCCCCCCCCCCCCCAAATTCTCATGGTGGTCCGTGAGAAGGCCTTACTGGTACATTATTTAAACTGTTATGTTTATTCATATCATGATCTGATCACCATGCTCAATATATCCCATATGCATGGGGGTATTGGGGTAATTATACGAAAGGTTTGCTAGGGTTGACCCTCTTTCACTCAGTCTGTGGGTCCCCAGATATTTTGGCCTCCGGCTCCCAGAATTCCTAACAGCTGATTTTAAAGGAGATAATGAAGATGTTGAAATCACGGTTTTCCATATCTTGGTTCAGTCATTTATCAGAATGGAGTTAATAAATCAGAAGACTAGGGCTTGGAGGGTGAGCTGTGAAGGAATTACACAAGATTTTGAAGTCTCAAGAGATAGCACTGAAAACTAAAGTTCGGACTGCCAATGCCATTGCATTTTCCATTTCAATGTCTGGCTGTGAAAAAAGCCGATAGGAAGAAAACCAACTAATCTGAGATGTTTCTATGAACTGCTAAAAAGCCAAATAGGTCCTATAGCAAATCAACCCTGAACTCTTGCAATAAGCCAAAGGTGTTTTTTTTTTGGTCATGTTAGGAGCGACTTTAGAATCATAGAGTTGGAAGAGACCTCATGGGCCATCCAGTCCAACCCCCTGCCAAGAAGCAGGAATAGTGCATTCAAATCACCCCTGACAAATGGCCATCCAGCCTCTGTTAAAAGCTTCCAAAGAAGGAGCCTCCACCACACTCCAGGGCAGAGAGTTCCACTGCTGAACGGCTCTCACAGTCAGGAAGTTCTTCCTATGTTCAGATGGAATCTTCTCTCTTGTAGTTTGAAGCCATTGTTCCGCGTCCTAGTCTCCAAGGAAGCAGAAAACAAGCTTGCTCCCTCCTCCCTGTGGCTTCCTCTCACATATTTATACATGGCTATCATATCTCCTCTCAGCCTTCTCTTCTTCAGGCTAAACATGGCCAGTTCCCTAAGCCGCTCCTCATAGGGCTTGTTCTCCAGACCCTTGATCATTTTAGTCGCCCTCCTCTGGACACATTCCAGCTTGTCAATATCTCTCTTGAATTGTGGTGCCCAGAATTGGACACAATATTCCAGATGTGGTCTAAGCAAAGCAGAATAGAGGGGTAGCATTACTTCCTTAGATCTAGACACTATGCTCCTATTGATGCAGGCCAAAATCCCATTGGCTTTTTTTGCCGCCACATCACATTGTTGGCTCATGTTTAACTTGTTGTCCACGAGGACTCCAAGATCTTTTTCACACGTACTGCTCTCGAGCCAGGCATTGTCCCCCATTCTGTCTCTTTGCATTTCATTTGAGTATCTTGCATTTGTCACTGTTGAACTTCATTTTGTTAGTTTTGGCCCATCTCTCTAATCTGTCAAGATCGTTTTGAATCCTGCTCCTGTCCTCTGGAGTATTGGCCATCCCTCCCAATTTGGTGTCGTCTGCAAACTTGATGATCCTGCCTTCTAGCCCTTCATCTAAGTCATTAATAAAGATGTTGAACAGGACCGGGCCTAGGACGGAACCCTGCGGCACTCCACTTGTCACTTCTTTCCAAGATGAAGAGGAAGCATTAGTGAGCACTCTCTGTGTTCGTCCACTTAACCAGTTACGGATCCACCTCACCATAGTTTTGCCTAGCCCACATTGGACTAGTTTCCTTGCCAGAAGGTCATGGGGGACCTTGTCGAAGGCCTTACTGAAATCCAGGTACGCTACATCCACGGCATTCCCCGCATCTACCCAGCTTGTAACTCTATCGAAGAAAGAGATCAGATTAGTCTGGCATGACTTGTTTTTGATAAATCCATGTTGACTATTAGCGATGACCGCATTTGTTTCTAAGTGTTTGCAGACCGCTTCCTTAACAATCTTTTCCAGAATCTTGCCTGGTATCGACGTGAGGCTGACCGGACGGTAGTTGTTTGGGTCATCCTTTTTTCCCTTCTTGAAGATTGGGACCACATTGGCCCTCCTCCAATCTGCTGGAACTTCTCCCGTTCTCCACGAACTCTCAAAGATGGTTGCCAATGGTTCCGAAATGACTTCCGCTAGTTCCTTCAATACTCTGGGGTGTAGTTGATCTGGCCCTGGGGACTTGAACTCATTAAGAGCGGCCAGGTATTCCTGGACGACTTCTTTCCCAATTTGGGGTTGGATGTCCTCCAATCCCTCATCCACTCCGTCTTGCTGAGGTTGAAGACTCTCTTTTTGTGAGAAGACCGAGGCAAAGAAGGCATTAAGTAGTTCTGCCTTTTCCCTATCCCCTGTCAGAATTGCCCCATCTTCTCCTCGAAGAGGTCCTATCGCCTCCTTGTTTTTCCTTTTTCTACTGACATAAGAATAGAAGCCCTTTTTATTGTTTTTAATGTCCCTGGCAAGTCTGAGCTCGTTTTTGCTTTAGCCTTGCGGACCTTTTCCCTACAGGTGTTGGCTATTTGTTTGAATTCTTCTTTGGTGATTTCTCCCTTTTTCCACTCCTTGTGCATGTCTCTTTTGTGTCTTAGCACAGTTAGAAGTTCTTTGGACATCCATTCTGGCTTCTTTGCACTTGTCCTATTTTTTCTCTTTGTTGGCACGGTTTGCAATTGCGCCTTGAGTATTTCACTCTTGAGAGATTCCCATCCATCCGTAACTCCCTTGTCTTTTAGTATCTGTGTCCACGGAATGCTGCTCAGTGTTTCCTTCATTTTTTGGAAATCAGCTCTCCTAAAGTCCAAAATGCGGTTTGACTTGTCTTAGTTTCGGCCTTCCTTTGTACCTCAAATTGCAGGAGCACATGGTCACTTGCCCCTAAGTATCCTACCACTTCAACCGCATCGATCAGGTCCTCCGCATTTGTTAGGATGAGATCAAGAGTAGCCAATCCCCTTGTTGCCTCTTCTACCTTCTGGACCATGAAATTGTCTGCAAGGCAAGCGAGGAATTTGTTGGACCTTGTACTCTTGGCCGAGTTTGTTTTCCAGCAAATATCGGGATAGTTGAAATCGCCCATGACTACTACATCTCTTCTCTGTGCCTGTTTGGTCAACTGTTGGCAGAAGACTTCATCAAGTTCTTCCTCCTGGCTTGGGGGTCTGTAGTAGACGCCTACAACGACATCTTTTTGAGTCCCAGTTCCCTTGATTCTTATCCAGATGATTTCAAGCTGGTTTCCCAGATTGCTGTCTTAAATCTTCTGCAGCATAAGAGTTTTTGACATATAAGGCTACTCCGCCTCCTCTCCCCTTTGTTCGGTTTCTGTGAAAGAGGTTATACCCCTCGATATCTACATTCCAGCGATAGGAGTCATCCCACCAGGTTTCAGTGATGGCTATGATATCATATTTGTGGTGTTGTGATAAAAGTTGGAGTTCGTCTTGTTTATTTCCCATGCTCTGTGCATTAGTGTAAAGACATGTGAGCCCCTGGGATCTTCCCTTGAGCTGTTTAATTGGGATTATTGTGCTTTTGGTACTTGGTCCTTGTTGTGTTTGTGCAGCCTTCCATTTAGCCTTCTGGCGATTCCCAGAATTATGGGTAAAGTAGTGTTCGCAAGTGGCTTCTGGTGTGAGCCCCCGGTGACGCAGTGGGTTAAACCCCTGTGCCGGCAGAACTGAAGATAGCAGGTTTGAATCCGTGGAGAGGCGGATGAGCTCCCTCTATCAGCTCCAGCTCCTCATGTGGGGACATGAGGGAAGCCTCCCACAAGGATGATAAAACATCAAATCATCCGGGCGTCCCCTGGGCAACGTCCTTGCAGACGGCCAATTCTCTCACACCAGAAGCGATAAGCCAAGGTGACCACGTTGGGATTCATACATTGGGTACATGAGAAGACATGACTCAGTAGAAAAGATAATCATGCTTGGTAAGGTAAAAGGCAGCAGGAAAAAAGGAAGACTGCGTTACAGGTGGACAGATTCAATGAAGATGTTTATGTAAGATTTGAGTAGGGCCCTTGATGGT